AAGGTCGACCGTCGGTACCTGATATTTCCCCCATCTACCAGAGGCATTGGAAACTACTTGGGCGGGAAATTGTTGCCTAATTTTGCTCAGAAGTCTCCTAGAGACATGAGGATCTTTTACGTGCCGTAAATCTATGACACGGGACCCACGGCTTAAAGTCCCTCCCGGAGGACTTGTTCCCTGAATTTTTCCGCCCTTAAAAATTCTACGACCTCCGCCGGGTTTGAATTATGTAATTCTTCATTTTTTCTTTCTTCCAGGAGTCTGAAAGGAAATAAAGAGCTATCTAAACTCTCCAACGAAGCGTTCCAGGGCCTCAAAAGTCTCACTGGCCTGTAAGTACCTTGCACATGCTAATTGTAGCATCCATTAAGGACGTACGTGTCTGGAATTGGGAGCTGCAACATTGTTTTAGTAGGTCAAGTTTGTTTCGTGTGTGCGAAGAACCCATGCGTATTTGTCTCCCATTTACAGTACACATACAGCAGTTACTTAATTCACAGAGCTTTGCATTATCTCCGTTCAATCTGTAGGCGTTATTTACTAGAAACGGAAAGTATGAGAAGCTTGAATTGAAGGACTTGTCCCAAACATCAGTGTCAACGCCGACATTTTAAACGAATGAACTTCATGCCACTGGAGGTCATTACAGTGCCCTACCTATTGTCTTCTTACAATCACTGATAACAACACGCTGAACACAGGAATTTGTGAGGTGGGAGACACGGTTGTACCACTTACGTGATGCTCGAGCATCACACCAATACGCATTGATCTGCGCATATTTCTGGTTCCTGGGACAGCAATTGGTGGGATTGAGTGATGTTAGGTTACGTTTGCGCATTAGACCACTGCGCATCCGTCTGTGCTTCCCCTGGATACTGGGGCAACAATGGGTGAGAATGAGCAGTGTTAAGTTAAGTTAGGTTAGGTTTGGTTGGATTAGCTGGGCACAACAGCCCACTGTTCGTCCCGCCATGTCTACCGGCAGATAGGTTTCACATACATTTGTATATAGTGTTTGTACACCACACATCTCCGTATCCATCTCGGCATCACTTGGTGCTTTGTGATTTTTAAGAATTTGGAAATTACTAATGCTATCCGGATTTCTTTTCAGTCTTTCGAATATTTCCAAATTTTAGGCACAATGTACCTTTCAGTTTTGTTATAGTCCAATTGCTGCAGTGGAATTGGTGCGTTCGTGTCTGTTAGCGGAGCCATGACTTAGAAACGGCTGCTGTATAGTTCCTTAGTTCGCGGTCGTTGCCCAGCAACGGATCTATATGACACAGCGTCATCACACACGTGACTCGACACCTCGTGTACCCCTCACATCTCTCGCCTTCAGTCGCTCCACGCATAAATCTGTTCTGCTTAGGGCTTTGTAATTTAAGTTTCGGTTGGAGATATTGAAACCTGCTCACTATTCGACATAGCCACACAGTACTTCACATTTTGTGTAGAAATCCATAGGTTTTCGAAGTTCGCATAAATTTTGGAAATCTGTAATCTGTTAATTCTGACTACTTACGAAGTACTCTGATATTTCCTGTATTCGAAATAAAGCAGTATTGAAATTCGTTAAACATGCGAATTTCTTAAATATTTACAATATATGCAATCCTTAATTTAATAAGAAATTCTCACATTATAATTTAAGTTGACCGTCCGCTCTTTCTCTCTCTCTCTCTCTCTCTCTCTGAGAAGTTAAAAGTAAAGCTATCCATGTAACCGGCCTTGGAGACCCATAGTGTTTTGAGACGTCGAGGCTCCCATATTTTCTAGGCAACCGGCTCACATATGTGTTCATGGTCATATCATGTCATGTCAGCCTTACGCGCCGGCCGTCCTTTACTCCCAGGGAGATTCCTGATACTCAGTAAAAATAATAGCATCATAACGTTTTCGAGAATCCTTGCACACCATTAAAAACAAAGAAATAATATTAAAATAAAGAATTACAATATATGTAAAAAAAGCACAGTGTCTCTTGTATTTTCTGAGCAGGTCGTTAATAAAACGTTCATATTCACGTCTCTGCTCAAGAACAATCCGGGGTGTTACGTAATCATTTCCACTGCACATGCGTCAAGGCCCGAAAACTCAAAAAGCGACAACATAAACAGAATCCTTGATTACAATATTTTCTTATATTTTTAATCGGAACTTCATGATAGTGACGATATTTTCGGCGATTACAATAAGCGAACTTTACGTCTTTAGATGACTGGACTGCAAGGATTACAGCAGAAATGAGCCACAGTGGCCGAAGATATTGCTGAAGCATGACACTGACTCTATATTGACTTACTAAAGAGTCTAATCTAGTAAAATGGATTTGAACGTTTCAAGAGTGTAAGATATTTGAAGACCTCAAGGTACTCAATATGAAGATTGTCTTCTGGAATATGACGCCATGCTTACCGACACTTAGGAAAGAAAACGTGGTGCGTCAGTCTTTAGGGTAGCAGAATGAACCGAGCGTAGAATACATGATAGGATGTATAGAAAGGTGGGGCTGTTAGGGTGGTATAAATATACCTTTGCTCGGGGCTCCTTTCCCCGTTCAACCCCATATACCTACCATTTTCAACGTTCGGCTCATTCTAATGTCCTGAAGATGGAGGCAGTGCACCAGACCACACGAGGACACCCCAGAAAACAGTGTTCTGGGCTTCGCCTCATTTAGATTTCATATTTCTTCAGGGACCTATCGGAGACAGCGATCACGCATCTGCCGACCGGGGGGCTGGAGGGTCTTGACATCCTGAGGATTGAGGACACAGAGTCACTCAAAGTCATTCCGTCTGTTTACAGCTTCAAGGTTAGTAAAGACTATCTTTAACCGATGTACGTCTAACCTGCCAGATACTACATAAATAATTATACAGAGTGTTCCAGGAGGAAATGTCAATATTCTGGGAGGTCATAGTGTCTGTTATCTTAAGAAAATAGCTGGGTACGTGTATGTACATGTGTCATATTCCGAACGGTTGCCGAGATAGAGCTATTTCAATGTACACTGCACACACGCGCAACACGCCATGTCCTCACACGAGTTTCAAAGTGCATTACTGTTGACGGTGGAATTTCCTAAAATGTATTATACTAGGTAAACTGAACAAACTTTGTCACTTGAGCAATAAATACCGGTATTAGGAGCCGGGATAGCATAGTTGGTATAGCGACTAGGTACGGGCTGGATGATCGAGGGGTCGGAGTTCGAGTCCCGGTAGGGTCAAGAATTTTCTCTTCTCCATGTCTTCCAGACCGGCTCTGGGCTCCACCCAACCTCCTATCCAGTGAGTTCCGGGCTCTCTTTCCCTGGGGGGATGAAGCAGTCGGAGCGTGAATTTGACCACTCACCTCGAGCTAGTACCGAGGATAAGAAAATACGGATCTAAACATCCACTCCCTCATACGCCTTCATGGCGTACTGGTTAATTACGTGAGCGCAGGGACAACTTTACCTTTTTTACCTCTATTAGAAACAGTACGTAATATCTCTTCCTTATCAACAGTTTTGGAAGTAGTTACTGTAGGATTCTGACGATGGTGTATAACACACTGATATATTGGCTATTTGGACTTTATCCATCGTCCTGGTTTTTAAGATAAAAACATGACGTTTCAGAAACTGGATCTGTTTCCGTCCTCAGGTGAAAGAAAACACCTATTATGTTGGGTCCGTTAGAAAGAGCTAGCCTCAATCACTGTCCACTGTCCGGACCCAACAGACTAGGTGTTTTCCTTCACCTGAGGACGGAAACAGATCCAGTTTCCGAAACGTCGTGTTTTTATCTTAAAAACCAGGACGATGGATAAAGTCCAAGTACCCAATATATCAGTGAGTTTTGGAACTGTTCAGTGAAATAGTTATCTCGGAAACCGTTCGGAATAGGACACGTGCATGTATATTTCTTGCTTAGAGTGGCCGATACTATGATCTCCAAGATTCGCCATAGCTCAAGCGGTTAGTCGCTGGCTTCCCACCGGCGCGGCCCGGGTTCGATCGCGAGTCTGGTCAAGTAGGATTTGTGGTAGACAAAGTGGCGCTGGGGAAGGTTTTCTCCGAATACTTCGGTTTCTCCTGCCAATCTTCATTTCGCCAACTGCTCCATAATTACCCTCATCTATCATCTGTGGCTGGTACAATAGGCCAGAAGTGGCCGCAGTACACGGGACTTAGTCCCACCCCACTAACAATAAAAAAAATGACCTCCCAGGTTGTTGACCTTTCCTTCTGGGACATTCCGCATTTAATAACACTGAAACCGAACATATTGGTTCAAGATGTGAGTTGTATTTGGGAAGCGTGCGTTTCGAATTTGGGCTAGGATGTCGATTATCCTGGCTTGAACTTTGTCGTGTTTTTTTCTTAGTTCCTCCAGGTGACTCCTCGGTAGTACCTTGTATTAGGCAACGACCGCTCTCCATATAGTGTGAGTGTATGGTGAGCCACAAGCAGAGGGAGCTGGGACGTTGCATATTCTTGACGAATAACGCGCCATGCGTTCTCTAGCCTGTGTTTATCACAAAGTGGATCCAATATTTTCGCAACCAAAGCATGCCTACATGAAAATCACTGCCTTCTTAGGACTGACACCGTGTATTCTTGTAGAAAGCTACTGAGAAAAGTCCTAAAGATTGTGAGGAAAAAGTCTTCCTCTATCTTCGGGGTATACTGAAGATGGAGGCAGCAGATTTCTCCGAAACTTCTGTACTGTTTCGTTAGACTACACTGTGTTACCTCCTGTAATACGTATCAGTTTCATTATTGTTTTCGTCATCGGTATTGTTGTTGACTTCTTCGTTGGTTTCTTAAAAACCCTTTTTCAACAGCTAGACTACTTAGCGTCGAATGATAGATTAATGTGTGCACATTTAATCGGGCAGGATGTGTTTTGGTGTAGTCAAGGTTCCATCTCTGCATTTTTCTGGAATGACTGAGTAATACCAGTGAAAACTGACAGAATCCCGGCCGGTATTCCAACCGAGTAACTGCAAAATACGACTCCAGATAAATACCGCTATGCCAGCCCGCTCATTCTAGTTACTGTCACGTGTATGAGTGACTATAGACGGGGTTTAGAATATTAATCGGATTGACTGGAAACTTTAACACACAACCCGGAACTGCACTTTACAAATCAGTATCACATAAGGACTAGTGTTCTCGTCCACGATCTTCACTACGCTGCTTGGTAACGGCTTCCAACAGTGGACATTCCTCTGCTCCCGGGCTCACATCCTCGAAGGCTGGCGGCCATCCAACACCAACAGCCTACTCTTCTAACTGGCGTCTTAGTACCGTCCCGTAATAAAAGTCAAAGTCACATTGCGACTGACGGTCAGTCGGTCTGTCTTGGTGTCGAGCCCCGAGTGGGGCTCATGACCAGATTTTTTTTTTCTTTCTTTATATGAAAATTACTGTCCTGTTCATTTGGGGCGCCCTCTGACGAGAGGTCGGGTCTGTCATTTGTCAGTCATAGTCTGTGTTAGTAAGTCCATTGTCAGTATTTACATATATTTACAAATTTAATCTTAATTCCTATTTCTATGTACAATATATACAAAACCTCTGTCAATCCAGGCTCAGTACAGCAGATTTTGCCCTATTTCTAGTAGTAGTCGCTACCACGGCAGTCTAGTCACTTGAACGGTCGTATGCCTGACCGCCGCCAAGTTTAAGCCTCTTATACTTTCTGTGTCGGGCTTCGCCTTGTCCGATGTTGCAAACATTCTCATTTTCATGATTTTGTATGACTTCTGCTTGTTTCCTGCTTATGCAAATATGCCACGTTATCATTTTTATTGTTACTACTGCTTAAGTAACTCTGCAACCGGCCCAGAGATGAAGCCCACAGCTTCAAGACCAAGGATGTGATAGTGTGCTGCCTGTGTCAGGACTATCGCACACCTCAGGGAGCGGTGATAGATGATTATGGGGCAATGGTGGAGTGATGATTAGCGGGTGAAACCTGAAGAAATTAAGTGAAAGGTCTGCGTCAATGCCACTTCGTCCACAATTAGCCTCACATGATGTCGCCCGGGACGGAATCTAAACCCGCAATGAGAAGCCAGTACCTAACCGCGTGAGCAATGTCGTGGCCTGTTATCACTCTATCCTAGTTCTAATAATTCAGGCATCCGCTTAAGCATTGCTCGTGAAATCCAGTGTTTGATTTTTTCTTCCACTTCCCACTTCAGTACAAAACTGAGAACCGGATGTGTCATTATTTGATTTGCCCACCGGAAGTGTAAAGTGTCTCATGTTTATATAACGCGCCTGTGAGGGACAGTAGATTCATGAAAATAAAAGACACCAAGAGACAGGATGTTGACAGGGCAGACAAAAGGAAATGACAGATCTGAATGACGTCACTTTCCATAGACAAATACAACCCTAAATAGCTAATTACACTTCATACTTCTTCAATACCACATGATCATATGGAAGAAGAGTTTACTAATTCCATGCAGTAAAGCATTTAATTAGAAGCTGATAGTTTCTTAGCTAGGCTAGCATTTCCCAGCCACCGGGCCCTATCGGACGAACGGTTTGACGAACTTGTATTTGAGAGTTTCTTGCTACGAATATCGACTGGAACGATGTTTACACTAGCAGCATTTCTTGCTTTTCCTCAGCCCCTCTAGGCAAATGCTGAGATATACCTCGATTAGGCTGTGATATCTTGCTTCCAAATTCTTTTCAATTTAATCATCTGTCGTCCTACTATTTGTCGCTGATATTGGAAATGTCGTTTGGGGCACGCGGTACAAGCCGGAGATTCGCGGGTTCGATTTCCGATTACGTCATTGGAACTTTCAATTGGCCTCATCCTTGCAGTCACACTATGGCCCTGGAGTCGACTCGGCCCCTAACAGATATGTGTACCAGAAATCTTCCAGGGGGGTAACGGGCCACCAGCGCGTAAGGCTGGTAACCTCGCAGCGATCTATGAGCCAAAATTGTAGGAGCCTCGACGTCACACAGTCCTATGGGCCTCCACGGGCTGTTGCAGGGACAGCTTTATCCTTTGTATTAGAAGTGTCGTTAAATAATCGACAAATGGAAGAGAAATTACCCCGTTCTAAACCAGTTCAAGCCGGTCAACACCAGCACACCCCCCTTCTTTAAGATTCGTTTGAGTATCTTCAGGTTCTACGCATTACTCTGCTACAGCATTTGGCAGACAGATAACAAGTTATAATCCTGTTGAGTTTCCATTTTTACATTTCCAGCTGAAGAAGCTACTTTGGCCAGCGAATAACGAGACAGACAGGTATATCATCTTAGATCATGCACAGGTGTGCCTATGGAAGAGGTGGCCATAGCATATTTCGACATTTTCCGGAGAGCCAGGGGAGAACCACGTATAATCCCAGGTACCTCCCGCTTATGGGTCGAGATAATTCAGCACAACCGCCGTTCAGAAAGGGCTTGAGTCGGAAAGCTGAGGAGTAGCCATTGTTAGGAACCGTTACCAGGCAACTATTAGTGAAGACACTGCAGACTGGAAAAGACTTAGCGTGTGCGCTAGTGATTTGTAAAATGTGGGAATTGATGATGGCGCTATAAGTAAGTGTAATTACGAGTCGTGTGCCTAAGTGGTCAATAAATCAACATTTTTCGCTGTGGTCGACTTCCACGCTTATTTATTCTGCCGCCTCCAATAAAAGATGGACGAACAGTTTGAACACTTCTTAAGAGTGGACAGTAAATTGCGGTTTTCCAGGGTGTCTCACCGTGTATACTGGTAGATATTCACCGACGTCCCGCCAAAATGTCAGTAGAAATCTACCAGACTGTAGAACACAGCAATCCACCTCATAGCGGCGCTGTGAGAGCTGGAAGCAAGAGTTAACCAGCTAACTCCGTTGGGCTGAGTCCTTGAGAAGCCAAGGTTGAGTCACTGAAGAAATTCTCAGATTTTTTTGGTATCTGAAGGTTCATTACCGCGTCATAAAATGCTCGTTTGTGATCCCTAACATGATTTTATGAATCCAGTCCACAACGCCACTCTCTCTAAGATCCGTTTTAATATTATCCTCCCATCTACGTCCGGGTATTCGTTGTTTCTTTCAAGAGCTTGGTGAGATTATTTCTGACGATAATGTGGAAACTTCCTCATCTGAAAGAAAACACAAATTTGACAAAGGAGTGTAGGTACCAAGTTTGTGCTCCTTGCTATTCTGTTATTTTACAACACTGTATCAACGGATGACTCACTTGATGTGGACATATAGTACGTGATTATGATTTATGAATTGGTTAGGATGCATCAGCAGTTTACTATGGCTTACTTTATGGCACTGTGTTGCAGTTCGCTTGCGGGAACTCTCCCTTTCCTGAGTACGAAGATGGGAAGTTTCTGCTTTTCAGCTTCCTACAAGTTTTTAATCGATTAAACTTTAGTCATTTGTTCCGACCAAATGGTCACTCCAGCTAACTTTTTTAATTTTAGTTAAGAAATGCTTCGTACACTGTTATCCCAAATAAAAAGTGGCAAAGGAGGAAAACTTCTAGAAAGTTGGCGTGTGGCGTGTGACCCGTCCCCTGTCTGTGTCGGCTAACGACGCCCTCGAAGCGTGAAGTCTGTTCTCTGTGGAAGGGGAGGCGACAGGACAGAACCATCTCCACAGAGGCTGCATGCCTCATTACAAACCAATTAAGACGACGTGGACGAAGCAATGTTAGAAAATTGGATTTTAGGTACTTGCAGCGGTACAAGTTAACAGACGGCACCACTTCTTAGAATAAAGCAGCCTCCAAATTACGCGATGTGACTTCCCAGAAGAGGATGGCCTCCAAGTTACGCGGTGTCACTTCTCCAAAGAGAGCAGTCTCCAAGCTTTCGCTTTCCTTTTTCCCTTCTCCTTCGACTTATTCTAATATCTAACTTCTCTTCTGTTTCTGAGATACCTTCTCCCTTATCATCTCATTCCTCTCATTATTATTTCCTTTGTCTTCTTCCTACTTCTCTGACACACCTTCCGTAATTCTTACCTTTCTTCATCCACTTATTTACCTATTCCTCTTCTTGCTCCCCCGTCTTCTCATTTTCGTCTTAACATTTCTCCATCTCCTACTCCCTACATTCATAATTTTCATCGCATTTCATTATTTCCAGTTATTATTCTTCCAGTTCTTTGTTTTCCTCTGTTTCTTTTCGTTTTATCCAGGCCTATTCTTCTGCTTCTACCTGTTCCCCGTTTCTTCTTTTCATCCCTCCAATATTCCACGTTGCTCTCCTAGCCTGCTACCATTCATTATTCATTGCCTGTCACAGTAGCAGTGAGCTCTTGTAACCGCTCACTTCCTTTGTGCCCTTTTCGTTGTGCGCCACTCCACCACCGCTCACTTCTTTGGGTTCTTTACTTTAATCAGTAGAGCTGGGTTCCTATCCCAGGGTCTTATAAGGGTCTGGCTCGGACAGGGCAGGAAGAACACTTCACTACAATCACCCACCTTTCGACGGTTGCACTTAGTAGTCCTTTAATCCCTTCCAGCTTTCTGCATACAACTGAATTTATTAATACTATTGATTTGAACTGTACTTATACTATTTTACGGAAGGGCCGTAGTGGTAAATTTAGTGTCCGACTTTGCCGAAAGTAGTGTCAAGACTCTCCGAGGTGGAATGCCCTCTCTCTGAATTCTGAGGTCCACGAACCCCAGACTCCAAGAGAAATCCACTCCTCCACTTCTGCCATTGGTTAATTTTTCAAACTAGGAGGTTCCCTAAATTTTGAATTCCCAATCATGTTGCTCTGCTATGTGATTCTGGCAGATGCTGACCTGACGCTAAGGATGACAGCCCCTTGATGCATTACAGTCAGGGTGTGAGGCTCCGGCCGTCCCACTTCTAAGTTGTCGCTGTCCCAAGCTGTCAGCTCTCATTTTCTCAAAGCCTTTCCGACGTTGCTGAAACTGCCAGAATTCCAGGAAAGTACCAGATGTTACTTCCTGTTCACATAGCAAAACTTGAACTATGTCCCTTCCGCGTGTAAGAGCTGGCTATCCGCCGGATCTCTTTGTTTGTAATATAGTTAACCTTAACTTAATACAAAATTTAATTTTCACACAACACTCCTCCAGTCCGAATGGACGGTTACACTCTAGGGCATGAACTCTCCTCGCTTGCTCGGACGCTGGGATAGTGGGTTCGAATCCCACTCATCCAAAGAGTCCTACCGCCTGTGAAAAATGATTACGGAACTGAATAAGAGACCTGGGCCCTGAATGGGCTGGAAGCCCCATTGTTAAAAAAATCATTATTCATTAATCCTTCGAAAAGTGCCGGCATAGCTCAGAGAATATAGTAACTAGACTACAAGTTTCATTGCCATGGTAGCGTAGTTTTGTACTATGCTTCAAGCCAGAAGGTCGCGGATTTAATTCCCGATGAGGTCATTGCATTTTTCAATTGACATAATCCTTCCAGCTGTATTATGGCCCTGGGTTCACTCAGCCTATATCAAAAATGAGTACCAGGAATCTTCCTGTGACTCAAGGGCGGCAGGCGCATACGACTGGCAACCTCGTCACCATCTGTAAGCCGATTGTCTAGAAAATGTGAGAGCCTCGAAGTCTCACAACCCTATTGGTCTCCACGGCCTGTTGCAGAGAATGCTTCATTTTCTTTTTTGTTTTCTTTCTTTCCGTTTCTCCACTTCGGCCTTCACTTAACTCTCTTCTTAAATTCCTTCTTGTCGTCCTATATAGTTTATCTCCTTTTGCGACCAATATACTTATCCACTTCCATATTCTGACTCTGAAATTTTGTGAGCAATAAGCCATCAATGCAGTGAACGAAAACCAGCGTAACACCCGTTGAGAATTACAAGAGAATTCTCATTTGTTCTATAAGCTTTCGTATCATAAACTCCCCTTGCTTTCTTCTATATTCCTTTCCAGTCCTAGATATTATCAAATGATATCTCGAGGCCAAAGTTTAGGACCATCTCCCACGAATAACGCGTAAAGATAATCAGTCGTTAACCATCTGCTTTGCATATTGCACTACACGTATCCAAATCAAAATTACCACTTCTCACAGAATAGACACGATACAATGAAAGAGAAGACTACTCCCTCACTGTCTAATATCTTGGATCTTTCAGACGTCACTTTTCAATAACCGAATCTGTCTCCGTTGTCTTTTGTAAGGGAGGAGTATTTCCTACTCAGGCCAACTAGAAGAAACTAATCTCGAATACATTTTCCAATATATTTTGTTTAGAAGGACTCGAGTGAAGTGCACATTGCCTAAAACAATATTCCTGTTTATTGTAACACGACAGTCCAACCCCTTCCACCTGCACTTGTATAACAATTTACTCTGTACGTTGTCACCGTAGTGTGCAAACAAGACATGTTTATAAAACTAGCAATATGTGTGCTTATGACCACCATGTGGCGCCTCCATCGGTATTCACTCGAACCTGCTGCAACTGTTTTGGAGAGAACATTGCATTACGTTTTACATATAATAAGGAATATTCAGTAGGGGAACGTTTTAATAAGTAAGAGCTTTACTGTTTTATATTTGTTCGTTGTCCCATATTCTTAAAAGTAGAGAACACTTATAGTCTTTCAACAAGACTACACCACGTAAGTGTTGTCTATATTTGAGAATACCAGTCGACATATGAAGTCTAAAAACCCAGTAATTCTGAGTGTTATACAACATTGTCAGAACCTCCTACAATCTTTAGAGTTTGAAATATTTTCTATTTCTGATTTGTTTTAGCACCTGAAGGAGGCGTGGCTGACGTATTCATTCCACTGTTGCGCCTTCAAGTTTCCTGCACGCCATGATCCTGCAAGGCATGCGTTGCACCAGGTAGCAACAGTACGCTAATAACACTAAAGCTGTTGGCATGTCAGTGTGAATCATTAAAACAAGCTTTATCAAATACACCTAACCCCGATAGTTTGACAAGTTTTAACAAGAGAGATATGCAGAAACCTAACCTTTCATAATCATCATATTCAGCTGTTCTCTAGATGAAGTATCTCCGGCTAAGCTTGATTTCAAAAGACAGACTTTTTTATTGCTAGTGGGGTGGGACTAAGTCCCTCGTACTGCGGCCACTTCTGGCCTATTGTACCAGCCCCAGATGATAGGCGAGGGTGATTGTGGAGAAATTGGTGGAATGATGATTGGCAGGGGAAACCAAAGTACTCGGAGAAAACCTGCCCCAGCACCACTTCGTCCACCACAAATCCCACTTGACCAGACCCGGGATCAGACTCGGGCTACCGCGGTTGGAAGCCAGCGACTAACCACTTGAGCTATGGCGCGGCCAAAAAAAAAAAAAAAAAAAAAAAAAAAAAAAAAAATAANAAAAGAAAAGACAGACTTAGTCGAATATATCTAACATCTCTGTTTCTTCAGCTGGTAACAAAGTCTCACAGTAGTCATTATCAAACCCACGACCAACCAAGAGAATACATTTCCTGGAGTCGCAACGTGAGCAGTTATAACAGTCAGTGGTCGCGTGATATGACCTTCACGCACAAAATAAACACTGACAGATAAACATATTATGTTTTTCACTAATAGCCATTGTTTCAAAACTAGCACAGTATACTGCAGTTTCTCCACATTGTGTTACCTTCTCATCAGCACATTACAGTAAACCCAAACCTTTTCCAACTCACTGTTCATCCGCGATCCTGCATAGCGAAGCTACTGACAGCCTCGTAAAATGATTAATACATAACGTCGAATGAGGAGTAATTATGAATGATGTAAGATTTGAGGCTTTCACGGCGGTGACTATGAAGAAAGCAGTCTTCTGGGATTTGGCACCGTGTATATGTGGTGTTAACCGACGTTTCGGAGGAACGTATCGCCCCCATCTTCAGGGTAGAAGAAAAAGTCTAAGAAATCTGCAAGCGACAACACCGTGAGAAACGGTGNCTGCTTTCTTAAATTATGAATGATGTCTTGCTGAGAAAGGGACCTTAGTCTAGTTTGCAATACTGTAAGAGCATAGTCTTGGGATGGTTGAGGAAAACCACGAATCCTCAGTGAGGGCAGTCAGCCTGTGGGTCGGTCCAGATAACTCTGCACTCGAATTTGACCACCCAAATAACGTTTTCAGAACATGTGCAGTAGTTTTAGTTAGTTATTGTGTGACCTAGTGTGAAAGTGTGGCCTTGTGATGGTCAGGTGATGTGAGTGTGTGTGTATGTGTGAGAGAGAAAAAATATATATGAGGTTGTGCATGGCTCTGTGTGTAAAATTAATTAGTGGAGCCTCGCTTAACGAGCACCTCTCATAACGAGTAATTCGCATAACGAGCAAACAAATTGTAAAAAAAGAATGACTCACTTAACGAGCGACGTTTCGCATAACGAGTGACGAGAGGGGAAGTCCCGGATTGTGCGCTTGCTACATCAGTCTGTGTTTAGCACTCGTTCTGCTAGCATCTTAGTGTCGCTTGTGATCACATATTTTTCCAAACTTGTGTTCAGACATATTATTTGTGATTTTTTTTGTGCAAAGTTTAACCCTTGCAAAAATGTCCCCGAAGAAAAAGCCGCAAAAAGACAGCCGTAAGAGAATAAAAATAACAGTAGAAATGAAACGTAAAATCATTGAAAAACGAGAATGAGGTGTGAGCGTGGCTGATCTAGCACGCACATACAGTCGGTCTACTTCAACGATTTGCATGATTTGGAGTTGCATTGTTTTTCACAGCAAGAAGTTGTGGAGGAGAGTTTGTCAGAGGAGGAGGAGGAGGAGGTAACAGCAAAGCAACAATCTTCTGGCGCAATAAGAGAAATGCTGAAAGCATGGGAAACTGTTGCATTGTACAGGGGTTGAACAAAAATATGGAAAAACCTCGTGAAATGCATGCCTGAATTGAAGTGTTTATTTTAGCGACGTTTGTAGGTCACGCTGTCGTATCTGCCCAACACCACTACCTGTACAACCTCCGCAATACGTTGCAAGCTTCATTTGTTGTCGAGACAGTGTTCTGTGCAATTTTTTATGCATCACGTCAGAGCGAACAGAATTCGAACGCGAGCAAATTGTTGGGGCCCATATGATGGGTGCTTCCGTAACCAAGGTAGCCGAGGTTTTTGGTGTTTCGCGAGGCATATATCCAAGATTATGAGCTCATACAAGAGGACTGAAAAAAACCGCATCCGATAAACACCAGCGTGGACGGAAATGTGTGTTGAGTGATCGAGACAGACGAACATTGCGTAGGATTGTGACGAAAAATAAGAAGACTACATCTGCAGAAGTGACTGCTGAACTGAATGTCACGCTCACAAACCCTGTCAGCACCAAAACAGTACGAAGGGAACTCCACAAGCAGGGTATTTCTGGACGAGCTGCAATTCCAAAGCCACTCATCAGTGATCAAAATGCCACTAAGAGGACAGTGTGGTGCCGAAGTCATAAAACCTGGACTATGGAGCAATGGAAGACGGTCATTTGGTCGGATGAGTCCACCTTCACACTGTTTCCGACTTCTGGCCGAGTTTACGTCTGGAGAACGCCATCCCAAGCTTATGATCCAGATTGTTTGCTGCCAAGAGTGAAACATGGCGGCGGTTCGTTCATGGTATGGGCAGCCACATCGTGGTATTCTGTCGGACCCATCATTACCCTGCAAGGTCACGTCACTGCCAACGACTATGTGACCATTTTGGGCGACCAGGTCCATCCCATGGTGCAAACTTTGTTCCCTAATGGTGATGCCATTTACCAAGCCAACAATGCCTGTGTTCACATAGCTCACATCGTCCAGGACTGGTTTTCTGAGAACGAAGACGAAGACGAAGCGCTATCCACCTACATCATCGATAACAGAACTTACCATGTTTTTCAGGAAGAATGGTACAAGATTCCCTTGCAAATCATACAGGACCTCTGTTTATCCACTCCAGGGGGACTGCAAGCAGTTCTGCAAGCCAGAGGTTGTCCTACTCCATATTAGTCACGGTAATGTGCTTTTTATTGGGTGTTTCCATATTTTTGTCCATCCCCTGTACATTGAGAAGCATCACCCTAATAAGGCAGTGGCTATGCGCGCTACAAATTTTTTTAATGATAATGCTGTGTCGCATTTTCACCAAATTTTGAAGCGTCAGCAAACGCAAATGTCTCTAGACAGCTTTCTAGTAAAAAAGAATTAGATGTGTATCATAAATAATAAACTAATTATTTCGATTCCCCCCCCCCTGCAAATTGAATTCGCATTCCAGGTTGGTTCATTCCACACAGAAGAAAAGATGAAGATGATTCACGTTCCTTAACAATGTATATATAATTTTCTTTGAATAAACGTTATACATAAAATTTTTTTAGTATTTTTTTTTTCGGCGTAGAACGCATTATCGTATTTTACATTAATTTATATGGGAAAATTTGTTTCACATTACGAGGAAGATTCTGGAACGAATTATGCTCGTTAAGCGAGGTTCCACTGTACATTTGGACGGGGAAAATTCTTACGATCATGAACTCGCTTACAGCAAATTCTTCTTGCACTAAAGTGATGGAAGTCAACAGAATTTCTGTTTGGAGCTATTGAACACAGAAAACAATGTATATGTTCCTTTCCCATCACCGGAATGAACAAGAGACATTTAATGTGAAGATTTAGCCTTTTCAAATGCGCCCAAAATATCTGACAGAGCAGTAACGTAAAAAAATTACATTTGTGGAGAGCAGACTGAATCCAGGGGTAAAATGTGCAGACTGTAATTGTCCTTGTTTTTTGCATATGAGCACGAGACTTGGCCTCTGACTTTAAGGGAAAAGCATAGGTAAATGCAAAGCTCTCCCTGTAACAGACCATGGAGGCCCATAGGGTTGTGAGACGTCGAGGCTCCCACATTTTCTAGACATTCGGCTCACAGATAGTGAGTTTATCAGCCTTAGGCACCGGCCGCCCTTTACCCCCAGGAAGATTCCTAGTACTCATTTCTGTTAGAGGCTGAGTCGACCACAGGTTCATAGTGCGACTGGAAGGATTGGATCAGTTGAAAAATCCAATTACCTCATCGGGGATCGAACCCGCGGCTTTCCGGCTTGTAGCATAGAGCCTCAAACCAAGTACGCTGCTCCGTGAAGGGAAGAGAATAGACTGCTGGTATATAAGAGAATTATGCTGAGAGAAGTATTTTGAACTTAAAAAGCTGGACACAACTTGCAAATTCAGGAACTTCGTAAATTTTACTTATCATCAAATGTAATTGGGGTAATGATATCAAAATGATAATAATGATGCACCATACAGCACGCATGCGAAATAAATTAAATGCATGAGAAGTTTTGATAGGAAAACCTGAAAGAAAAAGGCTACTTGGTATATGTACACATAGACTACATAATATTAAAATGAATTTAAAAAAAACGGAGGTATGCGGACAGGTCGCATCTCGCTCAGGATGGGGATCAGCCACTCGCAAATCACTTACTAACACCGCAGTGAATTTCGCATTACGTGGAAGGGGGGAGAAATTTCTTGACTAGTAAAGTATGTGCGAGTTGTAGCTTGTCAGTCAGTCAGTCAGTCAGTCAGTGAGAAGAACTCTCAGTATCCGGTTTGGCAGTATCTGGCGGTTCATACGTGCTTAACCTCATAAGGAACGTATCTGTAAGTCTGCATTGCCAACTGTAAGATGCAGAAAGAAAATTAAGGAATATAGTTTCATGCTTATGAACTCTAACATTTAGTTTCTAAATATTTCCCATAAATGTATTAGTACGCTGTAGGATGCGAGATAGAAGTCTGTGTGGATATTAGACTTACATTGCACTGTTAAGTCTGTCTGCTTCACGAACCACATTACGTTATACTGTACATTATGTAGACAACCTTACGGGGGAAAAAATCCCGTGTTAATATGTTTGAATTTCCCCACCGGTGTATCAATACCGAAAGTATGTTGAAACAGAAAGGTAGTCAAGTGTCTGACGGTGACGTAACGATATACGTCACTAACTGAAGATGACGCAACAACATTCCTGTAGCAGATGGAGTGTAGTAGATTTTTGTTAATACCTGTTTTCAAAAAAAAAAAAAACTCCGTAGTTCTAGTCCGCAAGCGAACTATACCGACCGAGCGACCGCCGCTTGTCGGCGAAGTTAGTGCCAACTTTAGCGGATAAAAGGTGTCACCTGGTCAGCGTAACGAATCCCCACGGCAGTTAATTTCGGTTTTCTATACCGGAGCCGCTATTTCCTTGAAATAGCTCCTCAATTACCCTCACGAGGCTGAGTGGACCCCGTTCCACACCCACTATTTCTCAGAAAGAAATCTGGTAGCGCTGGGAATCGAACCCGGACCTCTAGATCTGTAGCCATTAACTCTGACCACTAGACCACAGAGGCGGTCTACCTGTTTTCAAATATCTTATAATTTAAGACGACACCAAAATGTTTTTATTCTTTAATTCTCTATTTTATTATAATTATTTTGTTTATTCTTGGTTTATTTGCCTATGCTTTTATTAACTCAGACTATACAACTTCGAATAGTTAAATAATTATTTAATAATGCATCGGCATGACTTGGGAAGGGAGCTGACGTTTGGCAAATTGAGGCCATTTCCCAGAATTTGTCTGGAGGGACTGAAAACCCCATGCAACCCCCCCCCCNCCCCCCCCCCCACTTAGGACAGCTCATGTTCCGAACGAGAATCGCAACGGGCACAAATGAGTCTAGAGCATCACCGCTATGCTAACCTGCTCGGTACTGTCTTACGCTGTCTAGTGGTTCTCGTAATTGCCTAGGATTCAACCGTCAGTAATATCAGAAGCACAGAAAGATATGTCAGTGTAGAAATAACAAATGATATGACAATTGCAAAATATTCATCTTCCGAAACGTCCTTTAAACCAAATACACCTCAGACACTGAATTGTAAGTAAGTAAAGTAAAGCTAACCCTGTAACAGGCCATGAAGGCCCATAGGGTTGTGAGACGTTGAGGGTCCCACATTATCTAGACAATCGGCTCAAAGATGGCGGCAAGGTTGTCAGCCTTAATTCCTGGTACTCATTTCTGTTAGAGGCTGAGTGAACCCCAGGGCCATAGTGCAGCCGGAAGGATTAGGTCAATTGAAAAAAATCCAGTGACCTCGGTATTTGAACCCGCGACCTTCCGACCTTCCTACGCTACCGCGTGCCCATACACTGAATTGTATAGAGCATTTATAGGGATTGCGATAACGTAGCTATCCGTTTCGTCCGTGTTTGTCCGCCATACTGATTCTTTAACTAATTGAATTGATTCTCAAGAAAACGAAGAGTTAAACTTGTGCCGCATAACGCATGTAGTCCGTTGTAAGTCGACGGACGCTTCGAAGGAACATGGAGCTGTACGGTGTTATATCCCAAAGATAGAATACTTCATAACCACTGCTCTGAGAACATCATATCCTCTCATTAAATTGGTATGAACATCATGCCACTGTAGTCGGCTCTACCCTTAAGTTTCTAACGTCAATAATAGGGGCACGCGATAGCGTAGCTGATTGAAGCACTATGCTACAAGCCGGAAGGTCGCGGGTGAGACTCCGGATGAGGTTATTGGGCATTTCAATTGAGCCAATCTTTGCAGCCGCACTACGGCCCTGGGATCGACTCAGCCTCTAACAGAAATGAGTACCAGAAATCCTCTTGGGGGGTAAAGGGCGACCGACGCGTAAGACTGATAACCACACCGCCATCTGTGAGCCGATTATCTAGAAAATATGACGTCCTCGATGTCTCACAACCTTATGGGGCTCCACGGTCTGCTACAGGGATAGCTTTTACCGTCAATTTTATCAACATGGTCATCATGCGAACTCTGAAATGTTAATAATACTGACGCCATTTAAGATATCTGAAATTTTGTGTTGTAATGTTGTAATGAGCGGTCTAAGGCATGTCCTGTCTTCGCTCGCTTGAAAAACCGGGATCGTGGGTTCGAATCCCACTCAGAACATGGATGTTTAGTTTGGGTCTGTGCGTTTTTCTGTGTTTGTGTACAGGTAGAGGCCTTGCGAAGAGTTGATCACCCACCCAAGGAGTCCTACCGAATGTGTAAGATCTAGAAAAACCGAAGTGAACGGAGAAGTTCATGAAGGTAGGCCTAGACCCACTGGGGCTGTAGTGCGAAGGAAAAAAAAGAATTTTCAGTAAATGTTCAGAATTTAGTAATATGTTTTGCTTTACGAAACTTTTATCAAACCAGAACAATAATTAGAAAGGGTGCGAAATTCTGAGGTTATTTATCTCTAAATTTTATAGTTTTTCTTGCTTGGTTCCCCCTGTCGATTGACTGTCTTACAAGCAAAACATTTTTAATATTTTCTCAGAACTTCGTGATTTATTTGAGAACTGCCGTGAGATTCATGCTACTGCCTTTGCAGGCATATCTCGCCAAGATGCGTGAGAACTGCCCCAAAGAGCACGACGACACAGGGCAGCGAAAGAAGCGGTCCACAACACACACCATGTGGATGGGGTCCTTTTCCGACTTTATCTCGTCGCCAGCCGACTATATTCCCACCCTCTCGTACAACGATCTCTGGGACCCCACCTACGAGGACGGCCGCAGTTTCGGGCCGATATCCGCAGAGAGCTACCAGCCACTGATGAACAGCGAGCTGCGTTCTGATCAGGCAGTCCCTGAGGGTCAGCAATGGCATAGCAGCGCGGACCCAATCAAGCTGGGAGCAGGTAGTGACGGCCCTGCAGTAGACCATGGTACATTCCATCAAACCACCGCCGAGGTCACGACCAAATTCCAAGCGATGTGTGGGAACCTCTCCACAAGGTAATTTGTATGGTAATCAGCTTCATATATCGCCTGGCTTTGTCACAACTTGTATTAGTGTTCCTCCACGTCAGGGACACCCACAATGTATAGACTTACATAAAGGAATACCTATAATTTATATTTATATTGATATAAACGTATACAGATTTCAGTAAAAGGTAAAAAGGTAAATTTGTCCCTATGCTTAACTAATTAAGCAATTCGCTATGAAGACGTATGGGGGAGTGGATGTATAGAGCCATGTTTTCTTGACCTTGACACTAGCTTGAGGTGTGTGGTCAGTTTCACGCCCCGGCCGCTTAACCCCCAATAGATGTTGGATAGGAGGCTGGGTGGACCCCAGAGCCGAGCTGGACACGTGGAGTAGGGAAAATTCATACAGATTTCAGTAGTTTTATAGAGCAATGAAGGGCGGAGTATATGAGAAACGCCAAAAGTTAAAATTTCTGTGTTTCTGTAAGGTTACGGATAGTTCAACCGTTCTGACTCAGATGAGTCTCCTCTGAGACTCACAACAATGCTGTTAAGACACTCCATTTCTTTTGCATAGAATTTCTGTATACCACAATAAGAGTGTGTGTCCATGCGGCATCTTAGTGAGTCACGTTAAACTCGACTCGAATTTATTAGGCCGATGACAGGTTAGCCGAATTCATTGTGACTCCACAGCTTCATCAGACTCAAGCGGTTTGAGATAATTATGCAGAGATCCTATAAAAATTATTCACAGCAATTTTCTGAGCCAGAGGTGACTCATCTGGATTGCAGGCTGTTCGAATATGTGTAATGTATGAGGCAAGTTTCTATGTGGTTCGGAATACTGGGTGGGAAGAAGGGAATATTAAAGTCTAATGACTGACATGGCAGAGATGCGTTTCCCCAGAGCGGTCGCAGAATAATGCAGCTTCATAAAAACTAGAATGATGACAGTGAAGAGTTAAAAAAGAAGGTAAAATTATCCCTGTAACAGGCCGTGGAGTCCCGTTGGATTGTGAGACGTCGAGGTTACCACATTATCTACACAACCGGCTCACAGATGGCGGTGAAATTGTCAGCCTTGCGCTCCGGCCGCCCTTCACCCTCAGGAAGATACCTGGTACTCATGCCTGTCAGAGGCTGAGTCGACTCCAGGACCATAGTGCGGCTAGAATTGAAAAATCTTATGACCTCATCGGGAATCGAATCCATCTCCTTCTGGCTTGTAGTATAGTGCCTCAACCGACTAGGCTACAGAAGGAGTAGAACAAAGAACAACAAGTCGGCTTGTCAGAACAATAATGCAACTATATTAACGAAAAGATTATCTGGGATTTTCGGAAAGAATATCTGAAACAGAATCCCAAAGCTGCGCATGTCTCTACACAGTTATATGAAGAAGAGAGAGAGAGAAAATGTGCCGTATATGGAGTGCCTTCCTGAAATGGAGTACTTCTGTAGTGGGGAAACAAATTGCTACAACAGCGAAATGCACGGACAGGCAGACGCTTGGGTGAAGTGGACCTGAAGTCCAGTACCGGACCGCCAACTCAGATTCCATCTTTGTTGCTGGTTGTCGACGGAGTCAATTTCCACGAAAAAAGAAACTGCCTGTATGCGGTGGTACTGTACAGAATTTTCAGGTGCAAAAATGGCCTGTTTATATGTTAATTTGCCATAGAGTGACCAGGAACATCAACACGATATGTCCCTCAATTTAAAATATAGCGTTGCCTTTCCCAGGGGAGAACACTCTCTTGTTCATAGCAGGATCCGTATTACGTGCTGTGTTGGTTCAGGCGTGAAAGTATGTATCCGACATAAATATTTGTGAACAAATACCTGAATTCTCGGGGCACACGGTTGCGTAGTTGGTTGAAGCACTATGCTATAAGTCGGAAAGCTGCGGGTTCTATTCGCAATGAGGTATTGGATTTTTCAGTTGACCTAATCTTTTGAGCCCGCACTATGGCCCTGGAGTCGACTCAGCCTCTAACAGAAATGAGTACCAGGGGTAAACAGTGGTCGGCGTGCAAGACTGACCTCACCGCCATCTGTGAGTCGATTGATTACAAAATGTGGGAACCTCGACGTCTCACAACCACATGGAGCTCCATAGCGTTATACAGGGATAGCTTTACCTTTTATTTGGAAAGAAAAGATACAGAGGCCAGAAGATATTTCTAAAGTTTTTTTAATTCACTTGTAGCACTTTTACAACACACCTTTATTTACTTTTCAACATATTCACCATGGATCGCAATGCGCTTAAGGAGCCTGGGAACGAGTTTTTTTTTTTTTATCACAGCTTCGTAGAAATCTCTCGCCTGCTCTCTTAGTCATGTCATCACTGCTTCTTGAACCTCATCATCTTCCGAAAATGTCTCTCCAGCCAGACTTTCCTTCAATTTAGAAAATAGGTGATAGTCTCTTGGTGCAAGGTCTGGGCTGCGTGGTGAATTGACCAGTACTTCCCACTTGAAGGACTGCAACAACTCCTGTGTGGCATGAGCAGTGTGCAGACAGATGTTGTCGTGCAGTAAGCTGATTCCTCGCGTCAGCATTCTTCTCTGCTTGTTTTGAATAGCCCAACACAGTTTAATCAGCATCTCACCATAAGCAGTAGCATTGATGGTGTCTCCTCGAGGCAAAAAAATTGACGAGAAATGGTCCCTTTCTGTCCCAGTAGTTGGTTGCCATGATTTTTCGGTTTGATGGTGAGGTTTTGAATTTTTTCGCTGTCGGTGAGTGTGTGTGGCGCCACTTCATTGATTGTCCCTTACTCTCAGGTATATGATGAGATACCCAACTTTAATCTCCCATCACAATACAGCCCAGAAATTCGTCACCTTGATCCTCGTAACGCTCGAGGGACCATCTCGCAACATTTTCGGCACCACCTCACGCATGAAGAAAACGAATTATGCACGAGCCTCACATTTGGCGGGATTTTGAATCAACACGGCCATTTTAAACAAAGGCTGCGAGCACGACGTTGCCGTGGATGCGGCCGGTGAACTTTGCCATGTCATATGGTCCCTATCTCACATGGCAGCACAGCCATTTCTGAAGAAAAGAACCCTTGCATTTTTACTGGACTTGTATCTTTACTTTCAGAATATTCCTGTATATCTGAGCTCCCTTTCACATCAAAGATAACAACTATCTAAACATTTCATAACATACACAACGTTTTTAAAATAGTTTTATAAAGAAAGTATTACTTTTTCTGCAATATGCAAATTGTATTTCATGTGTACCAGTGAAGGTCGTCAAAGGAAGCGAAAGAACAATTTCAGTTCTTACAGCCGGAACTCAGCAAAAGCCTATGGCGGGATATTGGCAATGTTAATGACGAATGCGATGGAACCAAATAAAGGTCAATTAAAGATCACGCCATGAAGACGTATTCATTCAGTCATCAATGGCTCTACAGCCCTTTGTTGGGCCCTGGCCTCTTCTTCAGTTTCGTGAATTTTTTTTTGTACAGACGGTAGGACTCCTTGGATGAGTGATCAGCCCATAGCAAGGCAGTTACCTACGCACAGAACAACAAAAGCACAGAATAAACTCACACGCAGACATCCATGCTCTGAGTTGGTTTCGAAAACATAACCCCAGCACTCGAACGAGCGAAGAAAATTTATGCGTTAGACCTCGCGGCTACTGTTATCGGCCGTGAAGACGTATAGTGGAGTGGAAATATAGCTCCACCATTCTTAACGTCGTCAGTAGAAGGAAGTGAGTTGTCACCTTCAGGATCAAGTCATTTTAGTCGTGAGAATAGTGACCCCGGTTCCCATGGTTTAGGATTCTGGGTGGGCCTCAGAGCCAGTCCGGGCACTTTGGATATAGGACTAAAATCTCTTGCCTCTGAAGGGAATCGAGCTTCGATTCCTCGGTATTCCAGCCCGTAGCTTAATCTATATATAATAGGCAACTGTGACTTGAAAATAACAAGACTTTTTATTTTCAGTGTATTTTGTTCTCTTTTGTGGCTGAACCACGCGTAAGATATGCAAGGTTGCGTCATATAGCTTGTGAAGTGCCTTGGATAAATGTAGCTGGAGCTTCAGACATTCCTGTCTTAAGTGGCAGGCTTGTCGTTGTTGATAATGAAACATTAATTGCTTTGGCCTAGGCCTACTCGATGATACATCAATCTGTTATGAAATTCTGGGTGCCTTACCTTCTTTAAAACCCCCGCGGTTAGCGACACCAAAACCTCATTGGAAAGTGGGGTTACGGGAAACGCGGACGGGTTGCCTGTTCCTTCACGAAACGCAGAAACGACGCTGTCGGTAAAGAAGACTGCACGTGCACATCGTCGAATGATGGGAGGTGGAGACTGATGATTTGGAAAGGAAACAGGAGGAAGAAGTCGTGGCCCAACTTAAAGTATTATCCTAGAACTTTCCTAGAACAACCGAGGAAGACCATGAAAAATATCAATAATAATAATAATAATAATAATAATCAGTGTTCCGGCCAGGAGTAGAATATGGGACATAGAGATATTGGAGAAAAAATGGGAGTACAATGAGACAATACATCAGCTATTCATAGACTTCAAGAAAGCCTACGATTCAGTTAGAAGGGAAGTATTGTACAGTATTCTGATAGAGTTTGGGATACCCATGAAACTAGTTAGGCTGATTAAAATGTGTTTAAACGAAACGAATAGTGAAGACCGTATAGGTAAACATTTGTCTGATAAATTCCCTATCTAGAAAGTTCTAACACACGGAGATGCTTTATCGCCATTCTTTTTCAACTTTGCTTGAGAATATGCAATTAGGAAGGTCCAGGGAAACCAGGTGGGACTGAAATTAAACGGGACACATCAGCTGTTGGTCTATGCCGATGATGTGAATCTACTGGGTGATAATGTAGACACCATAAAGAAAAACACACAAACTTTAATTGACGCAAGTAAAGAGGTTGATCTAGAAATAAACACGGAGAAAACTAAGTATATTTTGCTGTCTCGTCACCAAAATGCAAGGCAAAATCATTACATAAATATAAGAAACATATGTTTTGAGAATGTTGCATGTGTTCAGATATTTGGGAAAGACGATAACAGATCGAAACCTGATTCAGGGGGAAATTAAGAAGAGATTGAACTCGGGTAATGCTTGCTACCATTCAGTGCAGAACATTCTGTCTTCTCGTCTGTTGTCCAAAAACATAAAAATTAGAATATACAAAACTATAATTTTGCCTCTGGTTCTGTATGGGTGTGAAACATGGCTTCGAGAAGGGTCTTCGGTCTTAACACTATTCGTATGTGAATAATTTTGCGGACGTTTCGGGGATTGAGAGACACTGAACTTAGTAATCACTTGGATTAGTCACCGCTTGGTAACACTAGTTGATTGTTTCTGGTCACTTCATGGCCTTATAAAGGCCATTTTAGGCCACTTCCTTGTTCACTGACCCTATTGGACCAGACCTCTGTTGGTGTGTTTAATCAAAATCTGTATATGCATGAATACTGATTTACTTTACACACTTCAACCTTGAAGATGGAGGCAGAATGTACTTCGGAAACATCGGCGTCACAGTCTATATACCGAAAAGCAGTATCAACATCAACAGGGAATCAGTCACTACGAAAAATGGCGGGCCTGCCAGGGTCAGTGCAAGATCTGCATCATTCTGACTGCAGACGCGTACATAACGCACCTTGTAAAGTTCCACGCGGTAGTACCGAAACAGGCAAGGGAGGGGCGCACACAGTCTCCGCTAAATGTCAAGGGATGTATAGCCATGTACCCGGAACGTCCCTGTGGCTGTGGTGTCTCATTAACACCTCTCATTAATGACGGAGTGCTTCCGGCGCATGGTTGCAGGTTAGCAATATCCTACCTGAGTTCATTTAACACAGTGGCGGCTCGTAAATCCCTGCAGAGCTCAGCAAAATGCCTGCTTCATGTAACAGTCTGCACCGAGCGGTCAGCAGTTCTACTTCGTGTTCGTAGAGGCTCCGTGTTAAAAATCCATTCCGGCAGACCAGCTGTCCTGAATGAGGTACTTCCATTATTTTCTCTGGATTCTGCAGCCAGATGTAAAGACGGTATCTCAGATAAGGCCAATACAGGCCTCTCTCCATATTCTTTCCGCTTCATAAATTAGTAATCGTCCTAAAATTCGTCGTTATACAGTATAATATCTTGAAGCGCCGTTAAGTAAGTCACAAATTAATGAATAGACATTACTTAATAGAAATAGCCACTCTTTCGAACACGTACTTTAATTTTGCTTTTGTTTTTGTTTCATTTCTCTCTTTAGTTCTTTAAAAAGAACCCATGTACCGTATTTACGCATGTATAGGCCGCACATTTTTTGCCAAAAATTCAAGAGGAAAACTGGGGTGCGGCTTATATTCGAAATATTCGAAATCACACTTCATTTAAAAAAAAAATACGTTGCCAAATTTCGGAATAATTTCTACTCCTGAAATAATATTCCAAGAAAATTATTTTTTCTATAATTTCTGTCTGAAAATTGTGCTGCGGCCTATACATGCGTAAATACGGTATATAGGCCTACAACACATCAAGTCTAAAAGTACGTGTTTGTGCAACGAAATGACATTTCTGGTGTTCTGATTAGCGGAGTATAGGTGATCTTGCTGTGTACGCTTCCATTATTCACGCTCTTGCATATTCTCGGTGTCATTCAGCATTTGGAGGAGTATCTCTGTCCTGCCCGTGGTCACGAAAGAATAAGCCGCTCATGTCCGGTGAACTGCGCGCGCAGATCCCTGATTTCCCCCCACCCCCCACCAAAATTTTTAATCCTTAGTAACGTTCTCCATTTTACGCGTGTTCCTTATACTCGCCGATTAACACGAACACAAAACCCGTATACGAGGACAGTCGTCTGCACGCCGTATTCCGTATTCTGCGTTCTGGGCTGCATCATATCTGAAGCGCTTCTTTACTCAAGGGAATAATGAAAACCCGCACAGAAGTTTCAGAAGCACGCGCATGGATATGTAACATAGACCTCATTATGGGTTAATTTATGTGATTTTATTACGAGAACGCAAAAAGAAATACTGTAATTAGTGACAGTATTCGATACAACATTTTCCTGTGCATCCAGAAGACATAATGGACATATGAAGAGACTGAATTCAACACCAGTGAAGAATATTTTCAAGCTTCCCTACGCCCCAGATGAAGCGGAGGAAAAGCTCCGCGCTTTCTTAACTTCGACACGAGGGCGTGCCATAGCTCAGGACGTTATTCGTCGGCTTCCCACTGCGGCGGCCTGGGTTTTATCCAAGTTCAGGTCATATGGGATTTTGTGGTGGACAAAGTGACACCGGAGCAGGTTTTATCCGAGTACTTCGGTTTCCCCCGCCAATTCTCATTCCACCGACTGCTCCATAATCATCTACCGTCCGGGGCTGATACAGTAGACCCAAAGGTGGCCGGCGTACCAAGAGAATTCAGTCTCATCCTATCCTAAAAATGTAAAAAGATATCCCGCCGCACTAGCTTGAGGAAAATTATCACCTTCAAGACGTGAATATCAGTCACTGCTTTTTCCAGGAATCGAACGACTACCCTCCGGTTCGTGGTCATTTTCTATACTGACTGACCGCGGAAAGACGGAATTCGGCAGAGAGCAGACGTATTGTGTTTAACGTACAAATTGGGAGTCTGCCTGGAGCAACTGAGTAGAATCTTGAAGAATCTGAATCAAGGTAAACGGCGTCTGGACCGAGATCTCGCGCATACGAAGCAAGAATCTGAAAAAGGAAGCGGTGTATTCCCCGAAACGTCGGCCTGTCTCCGAACTACACTGCTTTGCAACCCAGAAGACTGGTTCTCTTGCGCCGACTTGTACATCCAGCAGAGATGTAATACCTTTCAAAAGGAATAGTATCTTATATGAAGTGACACCGTGTGGTCTGATAGAAATTTACCGACGTTTAGAAAAAAATGCTCTGTCCGTATCTTCAGGGCTTAAGAGTGTACCGAACAGACAAGCAGCAAAGTATTTGTTCCGTTTAATACTGGACCCTGAGAATGTTGACAGTACTTTCCTCCGAAACGTTGGTAAACATACCACCTTATGGGGAAGATAGTACCCTTCATAATTACCGCTCTGACAACTTACAATCTCTGTGGCACTCCTGCTTCATATGCCGCCTTGGAGGGTTCGATTCCCGGCCGTGAGACCTCGTAATTCAGTCATCAGCCCACGGAATCTTTGTAAACAATTCAGGTCACAAAGTGTCGTTAAATAAACTAAGAAGCAAACTCTACCGTCTTGCTTATCTAAATACATAAGCCCATCCAGCAAGATTGCTTGTATTTCCCTAATACAGAGTGTCCCAGGAGGAAAGGTCAGTATTCTGGGAGGTTATAGTATCGGTCATGCTAAGCATACAAGTGTATATGTACATATAACAACCTATTCCTAACGGTTTCCGAGATACAGCTATTTCACTGTGCAGTTTAAAAACTGTTCATAAGGAAGAGATATTACGTACCGTTTCTAATACCGGTATTTGTTGTTCAAGTGGCAAAGTTGGTACAGTTTACCTAGTATAATACATTTTCGAAAATTCCAGTCAACATCAGTGCACTTTGTAACTCGTGTAAGCACATGGCGTGTTGCTCGACTGTGCAGTGTACAGTTAAACAGCTCTACCTCGGAAAACGTTCGGAATAGGACACATGTACATATACAGTTTTTTGCCTAGAATGGCCGATAATATGACCTCCAAGAATATTGACCTTTGCGCCTGGAACACGCTGTATAGCGAGCGGAGCTGAAGAAACTTCCGACGTAGACCACATATACTTCAGTATACTGCGACCTTTCACACAGATTTTAAAACTTTTGCGCCGTCGTGCTATCTGTAGGAATAAAACATAACTACCCTGTATTTCCCAGGCAAAGTATGAAGTCCCAACTTGAAGACCAAAGATATGATAATGTGCTGCTTTGTCAGGGCTACCACACATATTATTAGATTAGCATGGGTAACCCGAAGAGTCTTAGAGAAAATTCTGCTGGAGTTTATCTTCGGTAATGAAACATTTCACAATATTTCTACTATCAAAATTTGTCTGTCAAGGCAACTTTTCAATGAGAATTCGCTTCGAGATCGAAAGAACACTACGAGATCAGCAATATAAAATTTTGAACGATTTTACTGAAATGTTATTCAAACGGTTTAACTTCGATTATGGCCCTTTAAGGGTCCCAACATGATGTAATATTAAGGGGGAGATATTTTATTGTAAGTAGATTGGATTTATTTTAAAAAAATCCAGAACATCCTTATGTTTGTTGAAGTTCAAACCCTTTGCGGTGATGAGTCTTTTTTAGTTCATGAATGACTAATACACTTTCGTTTCCCCATATGGCAATTGGATTTCTCAATTGATCTAATCCTTCCAGGGCCAGTATGACCTGGGGTTGACTCAGCCTCTAACAGAATTGACTACCAGGAATGTTCTTGGGGGTAAAGGGCGGCCGGCCGGTCGGCGCGTAAGGCTGACAACCTCACCGCCATCTGTTAGCCGATTGTCTTGAAAATGTGAGCGTCTCGACGTCACTCAAACCTATGAACATCCACAGCCTGATACAGGGATAGCTTTACTTAACCTCAACGCCATATGGGAGCCTCGACGTCTCACAGTCTGTTTCGGGGATAGTTTTAATTTTATGACTTATGGCAACAAGTGTATGTCTGAAGGCTTCAGATCTCTGTCCGACCTCTTCTTACAGTTCGATCCATGTGAAGTGCTGGCCAGAACCCGACGCCCTGAACCCCTGTGAGGATATCATGGGCTTCACGTGGTTGCGTGTCAGTGTATGGTTCGTTGTGGTCACGGCTGTGCTTGGCAACCTAGCCGTGCTTCTCGTGTTGCTTAGCAACGTGCTCGATCTCACAGTGCCCAAGTTCCTGATGTGTCACCTCGCCTTTGCTGATCTCTGCATGGGCGCCTACTTGCTGATCCTCGCCGTCATGGACGTCCACTCTAGCGGCGTCTATTTCAATTTCGCTTATGGCTGGCAGATCGGTAAGCGTGCTCACTCTTTTTTATCTGTTTCTATGCTACGCAACGAGGCTTTCAGTAGCAAGACAATAATGAGTCGGATGCTGAGATCAGTGATGAATTGGAAATGATTTGGAAGAAAACTTTCGAGGCCGAATCGAGGTACTGTGTATGGAGTAACTGAGGAGAACCCCCAAAATCTCGATCATGCTAGCCAGTGCCCCAGCCGAGATTTCAACCGAAATTACCAGATATAATTCTTGAGGTTCACTCTCGACCAACCTGTGCTGCTCCCCTTCGTCATATCCTCTGTATTCTTCTTCCGCTGTGTCACAGCAAATGAAGGCCTGTTTTTGTGTCCGTGCCTCTGTGTCTGTCACCCCACATGACGTGTTTTCATTGAGCCTTAAGAGAAACTGAGCATTAGATTAGGTTCTCACAGCGGATTACTCGTATGAAGAGCACTTTCTTTTGAGATGTGACGCCGTGTATTTCGGTGCATTGTCGAAGCGTCAACCCGAGCAAAGAACACCCAAGTAGAAAGCCGCAAGGTCATGATAACCTCAAGTTCCAGATTGTTTGAAATAGATTTTGAGCAAATTACTTGCTTTTGTCATTTCACTGGCGGTGACTTTGGAAGTAATATAGGTGTCAGTAATTATTTCTAAGTGTTTCACATATTGTGACATGGAGACCCATTGCTGGGCAACGTCCGCGAGATAAGCAAAAAATACAACAGCCGTTACTCAGCATGTTTTCACGGCATCAATTGGAAACAGCAACAAAAGAAATGTGTTTTCTGTGCAGTCCGTGCCGAGATGTAAGTAAGGCGGTTGGATAAAGAGAATACATTGTTGGAATCCGTCACCAAGCAATGACTGGTAAAGACACTGCAGACTGAGAAGACTTAGTACATGTAGTAGTGAATTACAATGTGTTAATTAGCGATAGCGCTGTAGTTACTTGTAGTTATGATCTGTAAGTGATTAATAAATCCAGTTACAAATTCAACTACCTTATATAGTCAGTCACATGACAATATATACAAGCTTTATAAGGGCGACATTTACCGCACTTGCTCAATTTCCTGTTGCCATAGCAACGAATTGTTAACCGTGAACAGATTGCATTAACATAAGTTATTTATTAGGTCATGTACAAGCGAAAAGGCATCCTTTTCATTGCATTGTGTCTATTCTGTGAGTATTGATAATATTTTGATGTAGACGTGTGAAATATACTTCAGAGAGTGGATGGTTTACGAGTAGATATTTGTGCATGATATTCGTGGGTGATGGCACTAAACATCAGCCTCGATATATCGTTCGATAACACATAGGACTGGAAAACTGGAAAGGAATACGGGAAAATGCTGGGGAAGTTAGCAGTACGCAAGCTTGTATAACAAGGATGAGATTTCCCGTTAAATTTCTTTTCTTCTTTTTATCTATGTCAAACTGCTGCCCTCTCTTGCCATTCCCTTCGAACTTGTATTCAGTTTCTAAATATTTTTTTCGCACTACCCCTTCCTTCAGTCTTCAACATCTTACTCCTGTCTAACCCAACATATATTAAATAAAACTGTACTATAGATTTCCATAGAAGGAAACGTAGATCTTCCAATTGGGCCATCTGAAAAAGTTTCCTTCTCAAAATTCTGAAGGCTTTCCATATTTCTTTGCATTCTTCCCCACACCTTCTTTCTTGTTTCAGCAGGCGCGGGCTGCCAAGTTACTGGTTTCCTCACAGTTTTTGCTAGTCAGCTGTCCATTTATACACTCTCTATACTAACTCTGGAGCGCTGGTTCGCCATCACTTACGCCATCTATCTAAACAAGCGACTGAAGCTGCGCGCAGCGGCACGGATAATGGCGGCAGGGTGGACGTACTCTGTGATAATGGCGGCACTTCCTCTCTTTGGTATCAGCAGTTATTCCACTACCAGGTAAATGTGGCAGTACTGGCATAGCGAAAGTGAAACACGTGTACGTTGCCCATCTCAAATACGGCCAACTTAAGCAGGTGTCCATCTTACTGTAAATGCCGTTAAAATATCCCGTATGCTTGTCTGTAATAAATATGCACCGATTACTTTATTCTGCTACTTATATTTGCCAGGAAGTGAAGTTTTCTTAAAAACTCTATAATCTTTATTTCTCTCCTTGTGACTGCTGGGCAAGCTAAGCGCAGAATATCAAATGACCGATAAGATGGTCGTAGCGATAATGTTCTGAGTTTGTATTTGGGAAGTTACTGGTTCCAATCTCGGTCAGGATGCGGGTTATAGAGGCGGAGGTGTTTCCTGGTTTTCCTCACTCTCTGCACGAAAATTTCAGCATGGTACCTCAATTAGGCCACAATCGGTTCCTTTCAAATCCTTTTCTATTCATCAGCTTCCATAAGATTCAACAGTATATGGCCTAAACAACAACAGAGCCGTAAAAAACATTACAAATTGTATGTAAAAGCGATTAAGTGAATGTGAAAGAGATATTTCTACTTAAGTATCGATTATCGATCAAAAGAAATAAAAAAACGCTATACGTTAAACCCAACAATAATATTCATTTATCGAACCGTTTTCTCTTAGTCTGTCAATCAAAAATGGAAAGAGAAAGGAAGTTTATCTTCTGTAAATTAATACTGTGGCATGTAGACGTGTTGCTAGGCAGTGACCGCGAAACAACAGAGGAACGGTGTTTTCTGTGCGGTCCGTGCAGAGATGTTATAAATAGGACAATTAGTTCAGTCAGTAAGTCAATTGAATGGAGTGGAGTCAGCTGGTCGGTGACTGAGCTAGAGGACCGCTGGGGCTCCGCCATTCTAAGCTGTTGCTGTGAGAAGATGGTAGCTGAATCCGGGGATGGTTCGAGAACTCAGAGGAAGGGAAATGTCCGCGCGTTGGAAGCCGCTATCGAGTAACGGCTAATGAAGACATGACTGTGGACACTTATGTGTGTGTAAATTGTAAATTGTAGTCGGGCGCTGTATCAAATAGTCCAATATATCCGATTACCAATCCAAGACCCTCTATAGTCAGTCACGTGACAATACAAATTTGCTGGTTCCATAAAATTCTGGCCGGTTATAGAAGGTGGCCAACATGCCCGGTTTCGCTGCAGTGTAAAAACATTTGCGAGTTCCTGGGTTATAAAATTATCGGACAGCCAATTTAAAAACAAAATTTTCATCGGCTCTGTACTCGGTAAAAATAGGTTTCTGGGTTAAGAAGACTGCAGCTTCTCCGGAAGTTTTAGGCGTTTTAAACAGTCCCTGACATTTAGTATGTACATATATGCATGCATGAATAAAATAAATTTAAAATTTGGAACTCTATGTTTCCCGCCACATTAGCACAGCCAACTATAGAAGTTTATCTGTAAAAATAAAACCCAAAGCCTAATCTTAGCAGGTATTTAAATTTCAATTCAGTAATATATAGTACAGTTCATGAAAATTTTCCTGATAATGACCCAGCTGGATCGAAACATGTGTGCAAATGTACATAACAGAACGAATAATAATACAGTAACGTTGGTCAGTTGTTACTAATTTGTTGTGTAGACCCTTTTTTATTAATACTACACACATATAAAATTGTGTTCTTTCATTCAATATGGCTGTTCTTTATTCAGAATATCTTTGTATTTATTTTACTGAAACATGTTTTCCTTTACATTATGATTAACTTACGATGACGATGGTAAGGTACTCCTCAGAGAAACGTCTCCTTCCATCTGTGGCTAAACTTTATGAAGTTGCCATGACGCCTGCTTGTCCTTTAAAGGGACAGTAGCGGAGATGGGCTCTGCACAGCCATTATCCTATTAAAACTTGGCCTATCAGTTTTGACTGAGTTGTTATTGTGTTGGCAGCATATGCCTCCCCATGGAGACGAAGGATCTGAAGGATGTAGCGTACCTGATCTCCCTGCTCGTGATCAACGGGCTGGCATTTGTTGTGATCTGCATCTGCTACGCGCAGATCTACTTCTCGCTGGGGCGCGACACCCGACGGTGTGGCAGCCCTGGGCGCTCCGGTGCCCCTACCTCTGGGGAGATGACTGTCGCCAAAAAGATGGCGCTACTCGTCTTCACAGACTTCGCCTGCTGGGCACCTATCGCGTTCTTTGGGCTCACGGCCGTCGCGGGCTACCCTCTCATTGACGTCACTCGCTCCAAGATTCTCCTTGTTTTCTTCTACCCTCTCAACTCCTGTGCGAATCCATACCTCTATGCGATACTCACGACACAGTACAGGAAGGACCTCTTCGTCCTTTTAGCAAGGTAACTATATCCTTCTAACCTAGCAATTCTCAAATGTTGCAGCCACAGTCTCGCTGCAATTTAAAAATTCTTGACCCTGATTTTGGACGAAAGAGTAAACCTCAGCTCGAAGGGAAGAATGTAGCACTGTTGTCATATCCGCATTTTAATTCCTAATGACAGAACATTCAGTAGAAGTCTTGCAGCGGTCGCAATAAATACCAGTATATCTGTTGGGTGAAAGCAGTTCTTAGATTATTCACCCGCCAAGAAAGTAGTTAGGTAACACCCACGCCTGGTAAACACATGAATACCGTCCAATGCTGTTTCGAGGCAGACAACTCTGTGCACTCTAATGAAACTAATAAAATCGCCACAGGTCTGTAGTTATGTTTATGAATATAACAAAAAGCCTCAAGAATTTCCTTAGTCAAGAAGTCATATGTAATTCCGACGGGATGAGTCCAACTTTATAAGCGCTGTGGTCCTCGAAACAGCATTGTTATTACTGTGATTAGAGAGCATGTTACCAAAATCTCTTGCTTTACGAGTTTATCAACTTGATACTTTCTGGCTTTATACACGCTTTATACACGGACACGCTGTGCTCTGTAATGTTCTGTCAGTACTTCATTCCAGCAGCGTTATTTTGGCCTTCTTACAAGCTAATAAGATCACGACATTTTCGTCTTGCAAAAAAATTCACTGTCTGTTCACATTGGAAATCTGACGTATCCATGATCACTTTATATCGTCCTCAATTATCGTCTTATTTTCCATTCTCTTTTTAATCCTTTGCTTTTTACATCCATCACTTTCAATTCAACGCCCATTTTTCTCTGTTCTGTTAAAAATAACTGGGTGCCTGTGTTCTATTAAGGACCACGCCATGATGACATATTGGAGGTGTGGAGATATAGCGCCGCGCCTTCTTAAGGTCTGCACTAGGTGGAGAAGAGTGGTCAGCTTTACGCAACGGGCACATTAACCCAGGGGAAAATCCCTCGGTACCCCTTCGATGGGGACAGATGCGGTCTGCCNTGTTCCAGCATGGTTATTTGCTTACTAGCTAAAACCTCCCTCACAGAAAATGCCGTGTGAGCAGGTGTGTTGAGATGCAAGACACCAAAAACACACTCAGACACTAATAGGCGGCACTCATAAACAGACTACCATAGATCAAGAACAACATAGTTGCGAGACGCTGATATGCCAAAGTCATCAAACTATACTGAGGTTTCTGTCTACTGCTGCCACATCAAACACACGGTGGAGAATTCGCGAACTTTATTGTCATGCCACATATCTTCATACAGCCAAAGTTTCAAGCTCGTTATACATGAATTGCAGCCAAAGTATATGTTGTGTCTCTTAAATACTCGTAGACGTCACTAATAAGATTAAAATGGTTCCCAGTATTCTTATTTGACACACCTCTAATACACTCTTGAAACAGACATGTTAAATTAATGTGCTACGAGAGATGTTAATCACTTCCGTGAAAATTACAAACAGCAACAGAATATTCTAAAATTAATGCTCTAAAAGGAGCAACACACAATTATTCTGCTCACTTTCTGAGAGAATGAATGTATAAAGAGCCATACGGTGATAAGTCTTGTCAATATCAAATAGATTGCTCTCTGCATTGAACTCTACATGATCACCTCGCTAAAATAAACAATGGTGACACAGATCGTTTTATGCATTATATCATATGTTTTCTCCTTGCCACCATCAGGACGGAAAGAAATGTGGAGACTGAAGTTATTTTAGATTATAGACACAGTATAGTTTCGGTTTAAAATGTGCTTTATACACGGACATGCTGTGCTGTGTAATGTTCTGTCAGTATTTCATACCAGCAGCGTTATTTTGGCCTTCTTACAAGTTAATAATATCACAACATTTTCGTCTTACTGAAAAATTCACTGTCTGTTCACATTGGAAATCTGACGTATCCATGATCACTTTATATCATCGTCAATTATCATCTTATTTTCCACTCTATTTTTAATCCTTTGCTTTTTACATCCATCACTTTCAATTCAACGCCCATTTTTCTCTGTTCTGTTAAAAATAACTGGGTGCCTGTGTTCTATTAAGGACCACGCCATGATGACATATTGGAGGTGTGGAGATATAGCGCCGCGCCTTCTTAAGGTCTGCACTAGGTGGAGAAGAGTGGTCAGCTTTACGCAACGGGCACATTAACCCAGGGGAAAATCCCTCGGTACCCCTTCGATGGGGACAGATGCGGTCTGCCCGTAGTGGCGAGGAGAAATATCTCTGCGTGGGAATCGAGTCCCCCTAAACAGGCACTATACTGACTGAACTACGCTCGTGTCTCTTCTTTCTTTGGCAGTTTTGTAGTTTATTAAGTAACGCTACAATTAACTCACACTAATCGGTGTCCAGTGATTGCATGAGAAAATATTGTCACGTGTTTGGAATCCGGAAGAATTACTTCCATGGAAACACTACATACCGCGAATGAAATCCTAACAGTGAGTCNATCGTCAATTATCATCTTATTTTCCACTCTATTTTTAATCCTTTGCTTTTTACATCCATCACTTTCAATTCAACGCCCATTTTTCTCTGTTCTGTTAAAAATAACTGGGTGCCTGTGTTCTATTAAGGACCACGCCATGATGACATATTGGAGGTGTGGAGATATAGCGCCGCGCCTTCTTAAGGTCTGCACTAGGTGGAGAAGAGTGGTCAGCTTTACGCAACGGGCACATTAACCCAGGGGAAAATCCCTCGGTACCCCTTCGATGGGGACAGATGCGGTCTGCCCGTAGTGGCGAGGAGAAATATCTCTGCGTGGGAATCGAGTCCCCTACACAGTCACTGTACTGACTGAACCACATTCGTGTCTCTTCTTTCTTTGGCAGTTTTGTAGTTTATTAAGTAACGCTACAATTAACTCACACTAATCGGTGTCCAGTGATTGCATGAGAAAATATTGTCACGTGTTTGGAATCCGGAAGAATTACTTCCATGGAAACACTACATACCGCGAATGAAATCCTAACAGTGAGTCTCCAAGGTTACAACGAACTGTTAGAAGCGTTACGTAGTTATGGGATAATGGCTGTACGCAGGTTGTAGGCGGTCCGACAAGAGGAGACGCCTCACTGGACATTTACCTCCTCGGGCCTGATAATTCTCTTACCTTCTGTAATATTGTACCTGGCATCAGTGATCATAGCGGGGTACTATTGGAAGTAGAAAGGGATGATATTTGTCGACAGCCAAAAATGGAAAGGATACTCCCGTTATACCACAAGACAAACATTTTAGGTTTACAAACCCTTCTTCTGGAAAAGTTTACCTTGTGGCCTAGGAATGGTAGATGCGTAGAGGAGATATGGTTAAGTTACAAGGACATAGTTTTCGAGGGTATGGAACGTTTTGTGCCTCATAAAATTCTGAGTAAAAATCCGGATCCATAGTATTATATCAGAGAAGTTAAACGGTTAAATGTAAAGGTGAGGAGGGTGTACAATAAGAGGAAGTTTGGTGAATTGTACCAAGAGGAGTTTAAGGGTTTATCTAAGGAGTTACTGGTAGCAAAAACGAAGGCTCAAGAGACCTTCTTACGTTCGGTGTTACAAAATGGGGTAATTGCTTGGCAGAGTTTTTCAAATATGTTAAAAGGCACAGAGGAAATAAAGAAAATATCCCGGCGATCAAAGTATAATGACAGTCCCATCACAGATCCAATAGGAGAGGCCAACACCCTAAATTCTAATTATGCGTCTGTATTCAGTGGTGAGCGAAACAGTCCACAGATCCAATCAACGGATTATGTTAATCCCTTCAATATCAATATAAATAGCATAAGAAAGCGATTATCACCAATCGGGAGAAAGAAATCTGTCGTGCCGGATGGTATTCCTGGGGTGATTTTAAAGTTTGGTGAGGAAGCCATGATTCCGTACCGTGGGAGATTGCTGGACATAACCATGAACAACGGAGCTATCCCAGGGGACTGGAGAAAGGCTATAGTGGTCCCTATTTACAAAGTGGGAGATCGATCAGTGATTGGGAACTACAGACCGATCACTTTAACATCAGTGGTTTGCAAACAAATGGAACATGCAATAACAGGGTATCTAAAACAAATTAAGGAAAAGAGTGATTGGTTATACAAGGGCCAGCACGGCTTTAGGCCAGGGTACTCGTGCGGAAGTCAATTAATTACAGTCTGTCAGGATATTGCAGATGCCCTGGACGAGGGGGTCAGGACAGACGCAATAATAATAGATTTTTCAAAGGCCTTCGATTTGGTCCCACATGATAGGATACTCACAAAAATAGCGGAAGATGGAGTGGACTTCAGGGTAGTTGTGTGGATCAGAAATTTCTTTCAGGACGCTCACACAGAGTCAGAGTAGACGGGCACCTATCTGAAGATGTCAGAGTGACGTCAGGAGTGCCGCAAGGGAGCATTTTAGGACCGCTGCTATTCCTGGCTTGAATGAATGAATGTACAATATAAGGGGTGGACCTTCTTGGCCCTTGCACCGCGACCACAGTGATCTATTGTGCCTCCCCTTCTGATTATCCCCTCAGCAATCCCGCGCTTCTAATGAAGCGTAGGATTTTGTAGGTGGGGACGTCGAAATAGTCACTTGGTTCCATAAAGTATTGTAATCTTAAATAAACTAAGGCCTCACATTCACACAGGATATGTGTGACTGTTTCATTTCCTTCTTGACACCTCTCACAAGTGGGACTATCACTTAGTCCCAGTTTGAACAGGTGTCCTTTGAGGTGACAGTGTCCTGTAAGGAGTCCTACCACCCATCGTAGCCACTTCCTGTTTAGCTTCAACAGTTCCTTCGCTCTTTTAGCAGAGGGTCCTCGTATGAGTCCCTTTGCTTGCCTGAGTCCTGTCAAGGATCCCAAGTATTTCTTGTGCTTTATATCTGTCCAGTCCCTAGGATTGCCTTTCTGGCGACTCCTACAGAGATGCCACAGGCTGGTTCAGGAAAATACTGGATAGTAGTGACATTGGCAAGTTGCAGACGGATCTAAATAAATTAGGGGAATGGGCGGTAGTAAACGAAATGAAGATAAATCCGGATAAGAGTAACGCGGTAAGTTTCACGAGAGCTAGGGTGAAGGATCGACTGACGTATTATTTTAGGGACCAACAAATTCCGGAGGTAAATAGCTTTAAGTACCTAGGAATAATCATGCGGAGCGATCTAAGATGGGCAGATCATGCTACGAAAAGCATGGAAGGCTCTTCATTTAATAATGCGTATACTGAAACAGGGCAATAATAAGACGAAACATCTAGCCTATACGTCACTAGTGAGACCGATACTTGAATATGGTTCGGTATGTTGCGACCCATACAGAGAATGGCAGGTTAGCGCTTTAGATCGGGTACAAAGAAGAGCAGCTAAATCTGCCAATCCTACAGATGAATCTGGCTGGGAAACTCTGACACAGCGTAGACTGATAGCCCCCCTGTGCTCCCTCTACAAGGCGTACACCAGGAGACCGGCTTGGAAAGCGATAGGGAATGGTCTGCTTAAACCATGCAGGGACAATTATATGTGGAAAGTTAGAAGCAGGAAACAAAGAACAGATGCTGGCAAATATTCCTTTGTAAACAGGACCATAAAGAATTGGAACAGTTTACCTGCAGGCATACTAGCGTCTTTCCCCTGTAAACTAAACACTTTTAGAAAGAGGGTTAGGAAAACAGTTACAAGTACAGAGGCCTTAGGCGGAGTTGAATGAGTCAAGTGAAGTAATGCGAAGTGTCCTTGTTCGAGTGCAGTGAAACGAACACAAACACGTGCCATTTTATAACTTTATATGTCTGAATTCGCACTGTGTTTACCTTGTATATTGTATGTATTTTGTTCCCTTATGTTATAGACTTTCCTTGTCTGTATCAGTGTAAGTTCTGCTGCCACCGGGTGAACACCCAATTGCAATATAATAATAATAATAATAATAATAATAATAATAATAACAACGGGAAATACTGCACTTCCGAAGCAACGGATTGTTGAACCAGCAGGAATAATGCACTTCCGCGGTAACGATCATGGAACACATGAAACCGAACTGTTGAAGACAGTGTTCTCTAAGCGGTTCGAAAAACGACTATATAAAGGGTTTCAATGCATCCTCCAAGGGAGTTGAAATATAGCCGCCGCAGAAGCCACGGTTGGAAGACAGAGTCTAGCATTCGCCGAATTAGTTGGATCGAGTGGGCGGAACCGCAGAAGCAGTAAAAGTGATACTAATTGTACTTGCGTGTGTAAAGGCGAGCGTTCAATAAATATTCGCTAAATCCGAGACCCACGTGAAGTTATTTGTCGCGCTGCACAGGCAAAACGCGACAATATTATGAATTAAGGAGCATGTGCAATGACGCGTTTGTGACCTAATTTATGGTACTATCCCATAATCCGGCCGGAGATAAAGATAAAGAGGTTTATCAGTGTTTCGGCGAGATTCAAACTGTGCATCTACCGAATGCAAATCACAAGCGTTTATCTTTTGAGCTAACTTTCTTGTTCCCCGGGTTCTGTATTCTCGAGTAAGTAAGGCTAATCGCGTACGACCCAATTCATCTTTGTACCATATTTGTAAGAGTTAGGTTTATCATCGTCATTAGGTAATTTCAGGTAACCGTAGAAACGAACGGCCAATGTTTTGTTTCCGTGAGTTTTAACTACTCTGTGACGATTACTAATATTGTTGTAATATAAAGGAAACCCTTAACGACTGAATACTTATGAATATTATTCGTGAGAGATGACGTTAAACGTCGCCCTCTATTCATCACTCCATAACATGTAACAGAGTAAGGGGGGACGTCCGTTGTTGGAAACCACTACCAAGCAACGGTTATTGAAGACTAACAGACTGAGAAGACTTAGTGTGTCCTATAATGATTTGTGATGTGTGTAGAATAGTGAGAGCGTAATCCTTTGTAAGAGTTCAGTAAATCCGATTGCCAATCAAATTCCATCTCTCGTCACACTCATACACGTAGCAATATTTCGTAATGATTATTATATAATTTTCTGTTTTCTGCCATTTCGCATCAGAATTCGAAGGCTCACCACCAACACAAAATATGTGTTCAAGCCTAATCTTTACCAAATGAATCTTCCTCTGTCACAGTAACAAACTGTTTTAATGTCAAATTTAACATTTTGTTTCAGCTGGTGGATACTTTTCCCAAAGGATTTCTCATATGATGTTTCCGAAACAACAAAAAATGAGGTCGTTCCCTGCTCCTCCCAGTCGTACTACAAGCTCCGTCAATCCACTATTTCTGGTTTAACCATTCTAATAATACTTTTATCTGACTACAACATTTGCAGGGCTTGAATAAATCCTACTTAAATAAAGAAGCTCAGTGGGCATAACGATGGGCTACAGGCTAGAAGGTCCGGGTTCAATTCCCGGCAGTGGAAAATTGTTCTTTCCTCCACAACGTCTAGACAATCTGAGGCCCGTCAAGCCTCCCATCCAGTGAATACTGGGTGCTCTTTCCCCGGAGGTAAAGCAGTATGTAGCGCCGAGGTCAAGAAAGTTAAAGCTATACCTCCACTCCCCCCATATGTCTTCATGGCCTGGTGCTTAAATAATTAAGCACAGGGACAGTCTAACATTCTTACGTTTTTAACGAGATCTCCAGCATGGCGGGGTGACTACGTCACTGTCTAATAACAATTCGATCTCTTACGTGTTTTAGACAAAACAGATTAATAAAAGTAATTTATATAACTCTCCCTTGCTTAATTATCTTTGTGTATGTTATTCTCTTTATGGGCTTTATTTTCCGCAGGTACGGCTTATGTATGGAGAAAGCCCAGCAGTACAAAATGACATACTCGCTAGCGACGACCAACAACTCGAACCCAGTTCCTCTAGTTCAGCGCAGCATGATTGTCATTGTTCCGCCCAGCACAGCCCAAAATGGCCACACCAACGGCAGTGTCAGGACCAACAACAGCCAACATGCCGAGGTTTACGTGTGATGTTGCATAGTCAGAGTGGCCAGTAACTAAGCGATGTGACGCTCTTATGTTGAGTTTGTTATGAATTCATATTTTGTAACATTGCTCGATAAATTATTTAACGACGTTGTATCAAGGTCGTTTATTATCGGCGATGTTGTTGATAATGTATCAACAGTGAGTGGATTACTTGGGTGAAAATTAAGAGAAAAGAAAAAAATCCCTGAAGAAAACGAAAGTTGATCTCTATAATTGTTCCCCAGTACTCGTACGCTTTTCAAAGAAAACATGTCGAATCTGTGATCTGGAGCGCTTGTCGAAGGATAAGTTATTTATTCACGCTGCATATTATGGAAGTTACTGCCGACAGTGTCTGTGCAGTGGACTATACTACAGGGAACGGACACGGTGACTGGTAAGAAGACTTTTTCACCAACCGAAGCAGATATTTTGCGATAACTACATGCCAAATATTAAATTTTCCCACAGGGGAGCTAAGAATGTGTATAGTTCTGTTTCAGAAGTTGTGATCAGTGGAACTCTTTTCAGAAGCAGCAACAGCGGCTATCCTGACTGAGGTATTTTGTGATTCTTCTTAATCCCTTGAGGCAAATTCCACGATAGTACCGTCATTTGGCCACGACCGCTCTTCCCTTACCCTTTCCAATTTATCATTCATCACTCGTCGTACCATTCGAAGTTGCATAGCATAGCTACCGACACTGTCGTGACATAACCTCAAAATGAATCTAGTCTTTCAAAACAAATTAAGAAATTAAATAATAAAATTACTTCTACAAGAAATAATCTCTCCCATCAAATGCACAGTGAAACCAACTCTAAAAGAATGTCCTGGAATTAAAAAAAACATGGCCAGTTTTTTGTTTGTGGTAAGGACAGTTTTGTTACTGTAGTGGTTTCCAAAATGTGACCATCCCTGTAAAGGGAAGGGTTAGTTGGTTAGGGAGAACTCTGCATATTTGATGAAAGTTACATGGTAAAATTGAATTGATTCCAATTAGCAAAATGTCATAATTCGATTGTTAGATTTTATGAATGTTTAGAATATTGTTAAATATTATTAATAGGACCGGATTTTCAGTTGTGAGGGCCCTGGGGCAATCGAAATCTGGAGGCATATATCAATATCACCAAATTAGGTTATGATTTTTATTTTCGATATTTTAGAAAAGTAGATTTAATAAAATATGTGGATTCTGTTTGTGTTTCGTGGAGGTCCAGGGTGTTTCGCCCCTAAATCCAGCTCTGATTGTTAATTGAATAAAACTTATAAACGGCCTTCAGTTTTATAACGTTGTGAATTTTTTGGAACAGACCGACGTTTCGCAAGAATATATTGCCTTCGTTTTCAGTGTTGAAGAGTAAAGCAAATAAGAAACCAGGTGACTCAGAGGGTAAATTATTCTTGCCTCCGAAACGTCGGATTTTCTCGGAATTATACGGCATTGCAACTCAGAAATAGTCACCGCAGTGAAGTATGAAATCAGTATAAAAAAGTTATTGATTTTAAAATTTAAAACCCGAGGAAACTGTTCTCTATGCACACAGTAAATTATGAACGGGGTGCAGTGAAATGTGCAGAGCTGGAAGTGCCATGTAGGTACAAATTTGGGAATAGTTCTCTACTGCATGACACGGTAGAAGTGTATTTATGTCCAGGATCATAGTGTATCGAACAAATGAATAGCAGAAAGGTGTCCTCCTCTGGAGTACACACGCTGGCTTCATGGCATATTGCTATTCTTAACGTGACCATTAATTGGTGCCATCTGAATATATTGTGCAACAATTTAAATTTGTTGTTGTGTAGTTGTGGTGACTGTGGACGGGGTTTGGATTGGTGACTGTTTATTGACCACTTATACACACAATTCCCAACTACAAGTAATTACGGCGGCATCACTAATCTCCACATTTTTCAAACCACTTCTACAAACACAAAGTCTTCTCCAGCCTTCATTGTCTTCACTAGTCGTTTACTGGTAATGGCTCCTAGCAGTGGAGATTCTTCAGTTTCCGCCCTCATGCCGTTCATAGCTGGCTACAGTCTCACAACCGAACTGCCTCTCAACTTAAAGTCAAAGTCAGAGTTACTTTACGACTGGAGGTTTACCGCCAATCACTTCGTCTTGGCTCCAGGCCCTTTGAGACCCACGACCAAAGATACTATTTTCCCAACTGAACACTTGAAATAATAATCCTTATTTAACTTCCTCTATGACGAGAAGGTGGGCTTATCTGTTATGAATATGCTTGGCTTTTCGTCAAGTGTATATTTCATACATATAACATGTTACTGAAAATTCTTCCTTTTGCATTACACACAAATCCTCTGTCAGTACAGGCTCTACAGAGTACATTATGCCTATCTTACGTGTTTTATGCTACAGTGGCAGCTTAGTCATTTGAAAGGTTGTACGCTTGACCACCACCAAGTTTAAGCTTCTTATATTTTCTATGTCAGGCTTCACCTTGTCCCACACCGCGACCTTGTTCATTCTGAAGATTTTGTATAACTTCTGCTTGTTGCCTGCACAATTTTGTTATATAATCGTATACATACGGAAGGTTGAAAGCTTTATGCAAATCGCGGACCGGTGTGCATTTTGGAAAATTTCCAAAGGTATGCAAAATCTTTTTATGCATGTGTTGCAATTTTAAAAGTTACGTGTCTGCCGTAAGTTATTACTGATCTGATCAGTGCCTTTTGGAACGTTAGTTTGATGTCGGCGCCTAAACGCAGCGTCCAGACCGACTCGCGTATTCACCCAGCCTCCTGTTCATGGTTACCGTGGACTCTTTCTTCGTGAGGGGTTAAGCGGCCGGGGAGTGAAGCTGACCGCTCACACATATATCTAGTGCCGAGGTCAAGAATGGTGGAGCTACATCTTCACTTCCCCAAATGTCTTCATGGCGAGGTACTGAATTAATTAAATGCAGGAAGAATTTGGCTATATGTCATCCTTAGTACGTAGTTCTAAATATCACCAAAAAGTTACTTCGCCTTGTCGAGTTTTACCAAAGAACACGACGTCACTACCCACCAAATTCATTGATACACATTGCCTTCGGGATCCCAGAGCTCACATACACTGAAAGCTGTCAAGCAGTAGCCTATCGAATTATAGTATCGAGATTCATAATTCTAGGTACTCGATAATGCAGCACACAAAATTACCAGCCACTTGTTTTGAAGATTATTCAAACAAACAAAAAACTCCGTGATTTTAGTCCGCAAGCGAACTATACCGACCGAGCGACCGCCGCTTGTCGGCGAAGTAAGTGCCAACTTTTGCGGACAGAGGGTGTTGCGTGGGAAGCGCAACGAATCCCCACGGCCGTTAATTTCGGTTTTCTAGACCGGAGCCGCTATTTCCTTGAAATAGCTCCTCAATTATCATCACGAAGCTGAGTGGACCCCGTTCCAGACCCACTATTTCTCAGAAAAAAATCTTTTAACGCCGGGAATCGAACCCGGACCTCTGGATCTGTAGCCAGGAACGCTGACCACTAGACCACAAAGGCGGTCTTTTTTAAGTTTACTTAAATTGGAAACAAAGAAAAGCAGATTTATGAATGCGCCACAATACTGCATTTCGACATAATCTGTGAAAGGCTTTATGATACATCAGTGGATTATGTAAAGCTGTCTATTTTACGCATCAGAGTAGATGAAACTTTTAATTTCTCGATAGTTGTTAGGTAAAGCTTCCCATGTGGCCTTTCCGATTTTAAAAAACGGTTCGAACTCTCATACTAGGTCACAAAAAGAAGGACGGACAAACATGACCTGCGCACAATGCATTCTTTTTTACCTTATAAAGAGCGCGTAAGATGTAAGCTATTTCCACGTATTTGTTATATTGCAGGATTTGTGGTTCTCACACCAGTGGATATGGAGAATACTGTCTTCAGGGATATAACGCCATGCAGACCATTCAAAGTCAACCGACGTTTCGGAGGAACATCGCCTCAATCTTCAGGGTAAATTAATAAACCGATAAAGAATCAAACGTTAAAGTATGTCACAAGAAGGCTTTGCAGGCTACCTGCTTTCACGCTGATTTCTTGCTCGGCTTAATCTTCGACCCTGAAGATGGAGGCGATATGTTCATCCGAAACGGCGGTGGACTTTAAACAGGCTATTTGGCGTTATATCCCAGAAGATAATACTCTTCTGTTTATCTGAAACTTGGAAATAGGCAGCAAACGTTTCATTTCACTGTTAACGTTAAATAACAAAATCCCCAAACCTGAAAAGGACGGCCTCTAAACGAAATATCCCGGCTTTAACATTTGAGTGGTTAACAGTGCTACAGAACTACTCTTTTCGAAGGTCCTTTTTATGGATCCTTAATTTTATCCGGAAATAGGAAAATGTATCGCCATATCCCCAGGCATTTACCCACATAATGACGGAATATTCGACACTACTGAGACTTTTAGGTGCTTAAACCAGTCAAAGGAAAGTCACATTTTGACTTACGGTCAGTCAGTCAGTAAGTCTTGGTGCCCCTCCTGGAGCTCATGACCAGATTTTATTACTGTTTGACAGTTACGGTCTTGTTTCTGTGGGGCTCCATTTCTCACGAGAGGATGGGTCTGTCTTTTGTATATGCTGTTGGTCCTTGCCAGCGCAGTCTTTCTCGGGGCCGAGTCCCTTGGGACTCGCGACCATATTTTACTGTCTCAGATTTGAGACTTCCCTTTTCGTCGTCTCCTACAAATCGCATGGTCACGGTGGTGGTATTCGACCCCGCCTCCACACGGGTTACCGAGAACTCTTCTCTTGTTGCAGTTGGACTCGTGTAACTTCCACGCAACTCCATAGGGAATGGGGTGCTTAAACATTCCAGCCAATCGGATTTTATAGCGAGTTAATAAGATTGTCGCTCTAATGGGATTGGAGCTCTCACGTAACCTAGTTATTAATACAAAGTTGCCATATATACTGGAATGACATATATGGGTCGTAACGTTTAAGGAACTGACCAAGCTTTCTCAAGCTCTGACTGTTTTGGTTTGTATTCCGAAGGTGCCATGGTCGATTCTCGACTGCGACAAATTCCTGTAGAGCACCTTACAATTAGGCCACGACCGCTTCTTTTGCATCCTTTCCAAATCACTGCTCACTGGGATCTAGTCATTAGACGCTAAATGTTCTAAGTTCCTGACAGAATTGCTAATTCAAATACAGTTAATGTTGTATGACTTCGGCTTTCGCGTAAGTTTTTCTATCGTTTCGGAAGATATTAGACTTGCCATCTTTAGGGTTTTTTATTGCTAGTGGGGTGGGACTAAGTCATTTGTACTGCGGCCATTTCTGGCCTATTGTACCAGCCCCAGATGATAGGTGAGGGTGATTGTGGAGCATTTGGTGGAATGAAGATTGACAGGGGAAACCGAAGTACTCGGAGAAAGCCTGGCCCAATGCCTCTTTGTCCACCACAAATCCCACTTGACCAGACCCGGGATCGAACCCGGGCCACCGCAGTGGGAAGCTAGCGACTAACCGTTTGAGCTATGGCGCGGCCCATCTTCAGGGTTAGTAATCCTAATCATCAAAATGGCAACTACACTTTTACTGAAACCTTGGAAGACTTTTCAGACATTCTATGTGACATATTCCCGATAACCGGAGCCACACATTGGACTCCCGCTTAGGAAACCTGGGTCAATATTTCCAATTGCTATACCTAAGTATTTATTTAAACGTGTGGTCATGAGATACGAACAATTTGTCAGCAAGTGTATGACGTTTCTGTCAGTATGCATGTTGTTTCCACTGTCTATTTGTGTCAGTTGGTCACCGTTATAACCTGCGGATTTATTTTAGACATGCGCATTGAAGTTGTTACTCTCCCTCTGTTTCTACGTGCAAGTACGAACATGCACTCAGCTGGTGTCCAACCTGAACTCGCTCGTCTCCATACATGTTAAACCACGCATGATCAGAGAGCTCATGATTAAATGTGATTATATTTAGAGTAACTGGCTGTTATAATGCTCAATTTATATTTTTTGGAGTTTAGAGCAAATAAAGCCTTCTATTTACATATTTACTTAATTACTCCTAGTCTGCACGATCCTCTAAGAACCTTAGCCTCTTTCACTGCAAACGCTTTCTCTTCTTTATCGTTTGCCTCTTGATTCCAATTCTTCACTTTTATCTCTCACAATTCTCTGCATCTTCCATCATTCCCACTCAGGCCCTTCACAATTTTCGCCTACCCTCTGATTTGCTTCGTCAATTTTCTTAGCCAACCTCCTTTGTCCCTATCTACGTAGGTGAGTCAGTAAGTTACAAATTGATGTGGGGTACTACATTTTTTAATGAGGCACTTGAGGCTATCGCCAGTAGATGGCAGCATTGGCAATTGATGACATTCGACACGAGATAATCGATGTTTACAAAAGTGAAACAGCACTTGCAAGATGGCGACGCCTCTGAGTGAGTGTACAACCCTCGAGCAGCGGTCCGTTGTGAGATTTTTGTGGGCAAAAGATGGAATCAAAGAATATTCATAAAGAAATGCTTCCCATCTACGGTGAGAAGTGCCTGTCACGTCAAGCTGTTTACAATTGAGTGCAGAGCTTCTTTGAAGGGCGGACACACATCGAAGACGAACACCGCGTCGGCCGGCCAACGGAGATTGCAACAGAGGCGAATGTGCAACGGGTTGAAGACTTAATCCGAGCAGACAGAAGGGTAACTATAGACCCTATAGCCACTGCTATTGGTTGTTCAGTCTGTGCACGATGGGTGCCGCGCATGTTGACCCCACAACACAAAATGCAAAGAATGGGTCTGGCATTACAGCATCTCAATCGCTACCACGATGAAGGACACGATATGCTAGCCCGAATTGTCACAGGTGATGAGTCTTGGGTTCGTCATTACCAGCCCGAGACAAAGCATGCGTCAATGCAGTGGAAACATCCTGCGTCGCCTGCCAAAAAAAAATTAAGGTGACACCATCATCCAGGAAAGTGATGTCACAGTCTTCTGGGATCACGAAGGCATACTGCTCACCGCATTCTAGCCTCAAGGACAAACCGTAAATGCCGACTCCTACTGTAACATCCTCAGGCTGAACATTTTCCCGACGATGAAGCTGTAGAAAGGGAAGTTACCGCCTGGTTCCGACAGCAGCCCAAAGAACTTTATGCTGCTGGTTTTCAGGGGCTTGTGAAACGATGGAACAAGTGCCTCAATGTACAGGGAGACTATGTTGAGAAATAAAAGCATTTTTCAAATCACTACTCTTATTTATTTAAGTTCTATATCCATTTGTAACTTATTTATTGACTTACCTACGTATTTGGAATAAAGGAAAATTGCTTGATCAGTGGAATGAGTCTATTATTGTACCAGTTCACAAGAAGGGTGATAAAATTTGCTGTAGTAATTATCGTGGGATATCACTGCTATCAACTTCACAAAGAATTTTACCCAATATTCTTCTCTCAAGGTTAAGTCCATACATAGACTAAATTATTGGGGATCATCAGTGTGGGTTTCGACGTAAGAGATCAACTACAGATCAGATCTTTTGCATTCGTCAGATATTGGAGAAAAAATGGGAGTACGATGAGATAGTTCATCAGCTATTCATAGACTTCAAGAAAGTGTATGATTCAGTTAAGAGGGGAATATTGTACAGTATTCTGATAGAGTTTGGGTTCCCACGAAACTAGTTAGGTTGATTAAAATGTGTTTAAATGAAACGTATAGTAAAGTCTGTATAGGTAAACATTTGTCTGATAAATTTCCTACCCAGAATGGCCTAAGACAAGGAGATGCTTTATCGCCACTCCTTTTCAACTTTTCCTTAGAATATGCCATTAGGAAGGCCCAGGGAAACCAGGTGGGACTGAAATTAAATGGGACATATCGGCTGTTGGTCTATGCCGATGATGTGAATCTACTGGGTGATATGTAGATACCATAAAGAAAAACACACAAACTTTAACTGACGCAAGTAAGGAGGTTGATCTAAAAGTAAACACAGCGACAACTAAGTATATGTTACTGTCTCGTCACCAAAATGCAGGGCAAAATCATAACATAAAGTTAGGAAACAGATGTTTTGAAAATGTGACACAGTTCGGATATTTGGGAACGACGATAACAAATCAAAACCTGATTGAGGAGGAAATTAAGAGGAGATTGAACTCGGGTAATGCTTGCTACCATTCAGTGCAGAACCTTTTGTCTTCGCGTCTGCTGTCCAAAAACATAAAAATTAGAATATACAAAACTAT